GGGATTGTATACGGGCAAGTGAACGGATGGATAAATAGTTGAGTGGATGATGGGGACGTTGGGTAGATGGATAGATAGCTAAGTGGGAGGGATAGGTAGGCGGATGGATGGTGGGAAGGGAAGGAGGGAGGGTGGTGTAGACGTAGATGCACGGATGGATGGATGGGTGGGTGGAGGGGAGGGAGGGAAGGAAGGAGGATGGGGTACATGCGTGGATGGTGGAGCTCACAGACCAGAGTTCCATGGCCGCTAGCAGTGCTGGGAGAAGGCACGCGATAGGGTCTGAGAAGGCAGCCAGGATCCTCGCGGCCCTCCCCACTGTGCCCTGGGTGGAGCCGGCGCAGACAGGCCAGCTGGGGAGCCGAGCCGATCTCAGGCAGTGTGGGCAAGACTTAGCCCCTAGGAGAGGCGAGGCTCCAGGTAAGGGCGGCCTGCCTGTGCCTTCAGCCCTCCTCGCTCGCCTGGGGGCCCCTCCAGGTCCAGTTCATGTCTGACTCACCTGGCGGGCTGCAGGCGGCCGCGGACGCTGACGAGCATGGCTGGCCTAGCAGTGGGTTTGCTGGAAACCAAGCCGAGGCCGTGGGAGTGCCGGCTGGGAGCCAGGCTCTGCAGTCAGTCCCAGGTGGCTCAAGCACGGGCATTGCCACTTAGTAGCTGCATGACCGTGGGCCAGGATCCCAACCTCTCTGAAACCAGTTTCCCCATCGGTAAAAGCTAACAAGCTTAGCCAGGTGACAAGGTTAGGAAGGGAGGGGCTGGAGGGGCTGGGAGCCCCTCACTCTGACCCCAGGCAGGGGGCACAGAGGAGGGTCTGGGGTTGCCATGAAGGCCCGGGGGGGCCCCCCTGCCCACCCCAAAGCCCCGCCCAGTCCCACTCTCCCACCCTGTCACAGCCAGAAAGGCTCTGTGTGTCCCAGCCCCGCCCTGGAGGGCCCAGGGCCTTGGGAAGAAATGGGGCCTTTGTCCTGGGCTTGGCCGGAAGCCATGGGCCCACGCAGGGAGGCGGCCCACAGCCCCAGACCCGGAGGAGAGGTGGCTCCGTGGGCCTTTCCGGAGCGGGCCCTAGGGAGTGGACAGAGCACGGGACCAGGAGCCTGAGTCCCTGTCTGCCACCACCCCCAGGCTCTGACCACAGGGAAAGGCCTTCAGCTCCCCGAGCCTCGATTTCCTCATCTGTAACATGGGCTGACGGCTCTGGGGACTTATGTCACTGGTCACCTGCTTGCGCCAGGCCTGGGGGGACCGGGCTGCGAGGGGGCAGGGATCCAGGAGGAGGCCCAGGCCTGCTCGTGAGCGGTGGGCTGTTTGGGCTAGGCCTGGGGCAGGAAGGAAGCCCATTCAGGAGTGCCCAGGGCTCGGGCAGAGTGTGAATCGGGGCACACCTGGCTTTAAGCACACCTGTGTCTCTCTCCGAGTGAAGCTGTTGGGGCGCTAGCAGCAGAGACCCCCGAGGAGGAGCCGAAGCAGAGGGAGGACAGACCGAGGGGGTGTGGGGGGCAGGGTCTCAGGGCAGCGGGGTCTGGTCCCAGGCCAGCTGCCCCTGGTGCTCTGGGCACCATCCACTCTCTCTAGGCAGCTCTCGGCCACCCCCACCACCCCCCCGTGTGCGTCAGCGGCCGTCTGCCCACCTAGAGCTGTCACCAGGGAGGGAAGTTCTGGTGGCCCGGCATGGGTCAGTGGCACGTCTCAGGTTCACGTGGCCATGGCCAGGGTTGACAGAGCCAATTTAGTGCTGGGCCCGGGGGCGGGGTGTTTCCAGAGAGAGGTGCCTGCCACACCCATGAGGGGCTACACTTGCGCAGGGCTGGTCTGGGCCGAGCTTCCGACCCGGGCTTGGGTGCAGTCCTCCCTCGAGGGCCCTAGGAAGCCCGGGCACGGCCTTCCCTGCGCTGACCACACCCCCGCTGGTCCGCAGGCCCCCCAGGCCCTCCTCATCTGTTTCTGAGACGTCCCAAGTGAGGGCCTGACTATAAGACGGGGTGACCCCTGCCACTGACCCCCGACCTGTGAAGTGCCTCTTGCCAGGGTGGGTGGGAAGCTGCCCGCCGGCCCCTAGGGTCGCCCCTGCTCTCCACGTAGGTGTGACCGCGTCTCTTCCTTCCTTCCAGAAGCCTCCCAGCGCCCAGGCCATGAAGGAGGAGGCCTTTCTCCGCCGCCGCTTTTCACTGTGTCCGCCTTCCTCCACCCCCCAGAAAGTCGACCCCCGGAAACTCAGCCGGAACCTGCTCTTCGGTGGAGAGAATGAGCTCTACCCCCTCAGCCCAGGTCAGTGCCGGCATGGGCTGGGGCGGCCACCGGGGCCTGGGTCCCCCCGGCTCTGTGACCTCGGGCAGGTCCATTCCCCTCTCTGGGCTATCCTGGCTGTAGGTGGGCGGCAGCCTTGCTCAGCTAACCGCCGCCCAGGTGCTGGTGCTGTGCAGTATGAACAAAGGGCTAGCAGGGCATTGAAGCCCTGGGACCCGTGGGGCCAGGTGACAGCCTTTTGGCCGTGGAGGTCAGCAGGGGGCTCCCTCGCCCGGGCTCTGGGGGCAGCTGGTCGTTGGAGAGGCAGTGTGGTGGGGCAGTCCCAAACCTAGCCTCTCAGGGCAGGCAGCCTAAGTCCCAGCCCCAGTTCTGCTGGCTGGGTGACCCTGGGCCAGGGGCAGGACCTCTCGGGGCTCGGCGGTTTCCTCATCTGTAAAATGGGGATATTAGTACCTCCTCCTAGCTGCAAAGGAGTCCCAGGCTCTGAGAGGGAACAGTCCAGACCGGGAGTGGGGGGCTCTCATGCCTCTGGTGGATAAAGCACTGAGCCCACAGGGCACAGGGTCCCCTGCACCTGCTGGTGCCTTCCCGGTTCCAGGTGCTCCCTGCGCCGTCACCTAATTCCTCACTGGCCGCCCAGCAGAGTCTAAGCTGAGCGCTCCCTGCGTGTCTGTGACTCCTGCCCCCAGAGCGGCCTGCTTTTCCTCCTGTGTCCTGGGAGACCTCACCTCCTCCAGCCCGCCTGCCCCTCGCCTGCTGCCTGCCTTGGGAGGGAGGACAGTGATGCCCGAGCCCTTCCCAGCTGCAGTGTCTGTCCTGCACCTGGAGACTCCAGCAGAGCCTCAGACCGACACACTGTCAGGACTTGGGGGGCTTCTGGGGACCTCCCACCCAAAATCTCACAAGCAGATATGGAAACAGGCCACGTGGCATGCGCCTCGTCAGGTGACATGGGCCAGGGGCACGGGACGCCTGGGGAAATACATCCGACCTCCGTCTCTGCTGCCGCGTCTTCTCAGGAGCAGGGGGAGGGAAAGGACAGTCTCGGGGCAGCCAGGCTCAGGGGTCTTTGGTCCCCAGGGCGGCTGGCCCATGCAGTGCAGGACCCAGCAGGTAGGGACCTGCTCCAGGAGGAGAGGGGTGTCAGGTCCTGGGGGCAGGGGTGAGGAAGGGGGTATGGACGGAGGAGACGAACCGGTGCCCGCCTCTGACTGCCACAGGCCCCCGGTCCTCCCAGGCCAGCAGGCGGCACCCACACAGAGGTGACAGCTGCAGGACAAGTCCCCAAGTCAGGGGCCTGGAGGGAAGTGCAGAAAGCCGCCTGCTCACCCCCAAGCCTGGGCGTTGGGTGTCGGGGCACAGGGAGCTTTGTGGATGCAGAAGCGGAGGCAGCAAGGAGGCCTCCCCGGCTGGGGCAGGAAGTCTGTGGCCCCTGGAGTGGCCGCCGTTCCGGGGCCTTTCCTGCCCCAGGGGAACCTGGGTCCCCGAGGACGGAATCATTTCCTCAGGCTGGCTTCTCTGCAGAGCACGATGCTCCACCCCCAGCCCCCCAGCCCCTTCCCAGGGCTGTGGAGAGTGGGTGTGCAGAGCCCCCGCCAGGGCTGGCTCTGTGGGCACCTGTCCTCACTGCCCCGCCAGGATGATCCCCCCTTTCCCAGTGTGGGGACCCGGCAGTAAGCTCTAAGTTCTGAGCCCAGCCCTCGTCCCCCTGCCCGTAAACCTGAGCTTTGGCAACCCTCTTCAAAATAGATGGAGCTAGGGAAGGGTGACTGTTTCCCCCCAGACTGAATCCAGACACCTGCCAGGTCGGGGTACAGGGACCGTGTCCGGCTACCTCCCTCCGAGAGCCCAGCTCCCAGAGGGTCAGGGCGGGAGGGAAGGCTAGCCGTGGTCCGGGCACCCTGAACCCGCCAGGTGCCTCAGAACCTGGACATTGCAGTCTTCCTCTGAAAGCGGGGTGCCTGGCCTTATGGGACCCCAAAAGACATGCTGCACCAGCGCCTCCAGGTGCCTGGGCTCCTCCTGCAGGTCGTGGGAGCTGGGCCTCCACTCCTGGGTCCCTCCCTGTAGGGACCCTGGCTGGTGTTGTTAGATCTCTCAGCTGGTGTCCTGCCCTGCCCAGGAGGGCCGTGTCTCACTCGGGGCGGCCAGCTGGAGGGACCAGCCCTCCTGCCGTGCCCTGGTCCCCACTCTGGCCCCTCTCTTGCAGGGAAGGACACGGAGCCCAATGGCCCATCGCTGCCGAGGGATGAAGGGCCCCCGACGCCAGGCTCTGCCACAAAGGGGCCACCGGTAAGAGCCTGGCCATGGGAGGACTCAGGGACAGGGAGTCTGCCCAGGGGACAGTGGAAGGTAGCTTGGGGGGAGGAACGGGGCACCGGGCCTAGCCTGCCACCCCCAGCCCGCACGTGCCAGGAGGGGCAGCTCTGAACCCCGCGTCTGGGGAGGCTGGGACGGCAGAGTCACAAACAGTGCTTGTTAGTTGGTTTATTGGAGCCCCCTTCTTGGCATAACACAGTCCAGGGAGGCTGGGGACTGGAGAAGGACTGTGGGCTGCTCGGTGGCATTTAGGGACAGGAAACACTGTAAGAGGAGGCCTTGGAGTCCTTCTGTTGTAGGGAAACCACCGAGGGTCGAGCCTTCCCTCCCTCTGCCTTTGCCTTGCTGTTCCCTCCACCAGGTACGCCCCTCTGCAGAGGGGTGCTGAGTTCTGGAAGTGCACACACACACCCCCACCCCCACCCCCTGCGTGCTTCCCAGACCAGCCCCTCTTGGCTCCGGCCCGGCTGTGCCCCTCCAGGCAGAACCTGGGTCCCGGGAGGGTGCCGAGGCCCCGGGCACCGCCTGCAGGGTTTTAGGCACACCCTTCTGTGCCCCAGAGGGTCTCAGGCCGGGGCAGCCGTGGCCCCTACACACTGACGGAGGTTGGTGGCTCTGGGTTCTGGCAATGGGGCTGGGGAGCAGCGCAGACAGACCTCAGGTTCACCCCCTGCCCAGCCACCTGCCGCCCCCCGTGTGATCCCGAGCGACTGCCTCACTCTTCCGGGACTTCATGCCCTCGTCCATCAAAGGAGGGCTTGCGGTGGTTCTCACGGTCTGTCCCGTGTCTGCCTCAGGCGGAAAAGAAACCAAACCTTTGGTGGGTACCCCCCACTCCGGAGCCTGCATTTCCTTTTTCCCTTCTTGGGCCCCAGGGCTGCCAACTGCTGCAGGAGCAACCAGAGCATATTTATTTACTGACTTATTTTTATTTAATTATTATTTTTTTCTTTTTTCATTGCAGTAAAATGGACATGCCTCAAATTTACTGACCTATCCGTCTCTAAGTGCACAGCTCAGGGGTAGTAAGCACATTACCACACTGTTGTGCAGCTGTGTCCTCCATCCGTGACCAGAACGTTCTATCTCCCCAATCAAAATTCTGTCTCATGAGTCACCGACCCCCATCCCTCCCCCGGCCCCGGCGCCCACCGTCCACTCTCTGTTCCCTGTGAATCTGGAGACTAAGGACCTCGTGTCGGGAATCCTGCAGTATTTGTCCTTTCATGACTGGCTTATTTCACTCAGCATCACGTGCCCCAGGTCCATCCACACTGTGGCAGGTGTCAGCGTGTCCTGCCTTTTTTAAGACTGAGGAATATTCGTTGCCTGGATGGACCATATTTTGTTGATCCATTCATCCGTCAGTTGGCACTTGGATTTTACTTATTTTTTCAAGATACAGGCTTCTGGCATAAAAACACCAAAAACATAGTTGTGTCCTTCTACAACCCAATATAACATACAAACACCGTCACAAACATGTGACTTGGTTCGAACTTCAGATCCCATCCATTCGGTAATTAGGTCTGAGTGGCACCTGAGCTGCGCGCAGGGCCGTGGGCGCAGGGGGGGGGGGCGTGAGGAGAGCGCAGTGTCCTGGGGGGGAAGACCGCTCCAGACAAAACGAGTTAAACCTGCAACACGTCAGAGCCCGGGGGCGGGGGGAGAAAGCTCCATACACCCCCAGATTCCTAAGGGCGACTTGGGGCTGCTTTGAGAGACCCAGCCTGGGGAAAGACACAAGCTAATAGAGGTGCTGTATTTTTTGTGAAGTGAAATTCAGATATTCTAAAACCAGCCCTTTTAAGTGCCCAGTTCAAGGGCATTCAGTGCGTTTGCCGTGCCGTGCAACTACCACCTTTGTCTAGTTCCAGAACATTCCCGTCCCCCAGCCCGAAACCCCGTCAGAGCCTTCCCCGCCCCCTTACCAGCCCCGTGGCCCTGACGCCACCTCCCGTGTCCGTGGACTTGCCAGTTCTGCACATTTCGTGGCGATGGAATCGTGCAACGTGTTCTGAGATTCACCCGTGTCGTGGCATGTAGCCGTGCCCCGGTCCTGTTTAGGGCTGAGTCATATCCCAGGGGTGGACGGCCCACCCCTGGCTGGTCCATTCACCTGCTGGTGGGCATCTGGGCTGTCTTCATTCTTCAGCTCCGGTGACCGTGTTGGAGCCCCTAAGAGTTCCCGGGATTGCGGGCCAGGTGGTCACTCCGGGGTCACGTGGAATTCACAGGCATTTTGTATTTAACTTCTTGAGGAGCTGCCAGACTCCCCCCAACAGCGTCTGCACCATTTTACGACCCCACCGGCAACAAGGGAGGGCTCCCCTTTCTCACAGCCGCACCACGCTTAGATTCTCTGGGTCTTTCCTCAGTCGCTGTTGTAGTGGGTCCCAGTGGGTATGCGGTGGTGTCTCTCTGTGGTTCTGATTTGCGTGTCCCTAATGACTGATGATCTGTGCGTGTGCCTCTTGACCATCATAGGACTCCTTTGGAGAAACGTCTGTTCAGGTCCTCTGCCCATCTTTGAATTGTGTTGTTTGTCCTTATTGTTGGGTTGTAAGAGCTCTTTATATATGCTAGACACCAGATCCTTGTCAGGTGTGTGATTGCAAAGGCAGCTCCTGTTTGTAGGTCGTCCTAAACGGCTTCTGGAAGTCACTTTCAGAGGTTGTGTGTTTGTGGTCAGACGCTGGGGGTCCTGGCTCTGAGCCGTGCTTCTCGAGTGTGAGTGCGCTGTGTTATCCCGCTGTGTCTTGATGTGCAGCAGCGTGCAGGAGGGCGCCGAGGGACCCAGGGCTGGCCAGGGTCCCCGGGTGCCCCTGAGGACAGAAGAGCTGGCGGGCAGGGCTGCAGTGACCGGAGCCCGAGTGGCCTTGCGGGACTGAGGCCCACAGGGATGCAGGGCACAGACGCTCCATCCTGCCTCCAGGCCCCCAGGTTCCCAGGCCCTGAGCACACCTGGAGGGGAGCTGGGCCTCAGGTTCACTCGCTCACTCACTCATTCATTCACGCAAGATGCTTACCAGGCTCCCCGCTGCCGTGCCTGGGGTGTGCTGGGATGTCCCTGCCCTGGGCGGGCGTTGTAGACGACAAGCATCCTGGTCCTCGTGACTGTCATCACAGAGGGTGCTAGGTGGCCAAGGGCAGGTGTAACGTCCTCAGGTCCGAGGCCAGCAGGGCAGGGGGGCTGTCTTCCCCCTAGGGAGTGGCTGGGTGGGGCCTGAGGGGGGAGCAGGGGCTTCCCCGCTACAGGGAAGAGCATTCCAGGCTGGGGGCACAGCCTGTGTGAGGGGGGCTGGGGCACTCCCCAGGAGGACCTCTGGGAGCACCTTTGTGGGTCGGCCCCGGCCCCCAGAGACCTGCCACCGGACAGCGTCTGGCCTACACTTCTGCTTCAGCTCCAAGACTGCTTCTAGAGCAGAGTCCCCACCACAGCCGCATCCCTCCTGCGGTCAGTCCCAGCTCGGCGCCTCATGAGCTGTGTGACCCCGGGCAGGTTCTGAGCCTCTCTGAGCCACAGTTTTTCTCATCTGCGGGCTGTGGAGGGTGAGCGTGAGCCCCGGCTGTGGCAGCTCTGGGCCTCGTGGGTGGCCTGCCTCTCCTTTCCACCCCCAGTGCCCGACGCCGTGCCTGGCACATGGCGCCGTGGGGACGACCGGCCTGCCGGACGATGTGAATCCCAGCCCTGCCGCTTCCTGGCTCGCAGCCCCGGGGAGCTGCTCACCCTCTGGGCCTCAGTTCCCCATTCAGTCAGATGGGACAATGACTGGGCCCGTGCCTCCTGCAGGCCACGGGGCTCAGGCTACCGGGCCTTCCTCCCTTGCCTGGGGGCTCAGGGCGGCGCTGGCGATAACCCCCCGGGCACGCCGCCCAGAGAGCAGGGCCGCGTGGGCCGACTCTTTCTGGAAAGGACCGAGGGCGAGTCTGAGAGCAAGTCTGTGCGGCTTCGCGGTCACCCAGGCTCTGTCTCAAGTACTCACGCTGCCGCCACAGAAAAGGGAGCCACGAATCATAACGATTTTCATGTCTCACAAAATACTATTCTTTTGACTTTTTTTTTCAACCGCTTAAAAATGCAGAACTATTCCGAGCTCACAGGCTGAACAGAAACAGGTGGAGGGCAGGATTCAGGCCATCCTTTGCTCTGCCCTGTCTCTAGCCCCTTAGTCCTGCTTCCTCTCCTAGCTACCCTTACCACCCCCAGGCCTCGGTTTCCCCATCTGTTAAAGGACCACGGCCCCTTCCAGCCCCAGACCCCTGATTGCTGCTGTTCGGTCCACAGAGCGCGTCCAGCCCTCTCCTCGGTCCATCTGGCTCCCCGCAGCCATGGGCAGGCCCCGGAGAGCGTCCGGGCATGGGACCTGCACTCAGCAGCAACCAGGGCACCAGGGAGGAGAGTCCGCACTGCAGTGTGGCCCCCCGCCCAGAGGCTGGGCACATGGCTGGGGCTGGGGTGGACGCTTCCCGGGCACTTCTGAGCTCCCGCCCACATGCTGTGCTTGGCTACCCCGAGTCCTCCATTCCTGTACCCCCCCACCCCCGGCATTGCTGGAGAGCCGAACAGAGGGTGTTGCGCGGTGAGGGACAGGAGCACCCTTCTCAGATCTCAAGCCCCGCCGGCCGCCCCCCAGGCCTCTGCAGCCCCAGACTGCACACTGAGGCCCTTCTGCCCCCCACTTGAGTCTCTCTTGCAGGCAGAATACAGGCTGTACAATGGGTCCGACAAGGAATGTATGTCCCCAACAGCCAAGGTCACCAAGAAGGAAGCTCTCAAGGTGCGCATGGGCCCAGGAAGGGGACACAAGTATGTCATGTGCCAGAGGAATGGGCCGGTGAGGTCCACCACGCCCCAGCTTGCCAAAGGGAGGGGGCAGGCCACATCCTGGCCACCTCCCGGCCCCCCCCCGCCCCCACGTCCTCTCCTCTCTTCTCCCGGCCCCTGTCCTCACCACCCCCCACCCCGGGCTGGACCGTGGGGGCATGGCGGGTGGGAAGGGCCGGGGCAGGGGCCAGCCCGGGCCTTGTCCCTTGACCTGCCCGCTGGGTGCCCGGGGTCCAGGCACAGAAAGAGAACTACCGGCAGGAGAAGAAGCGAGCCACGAAGCAGCTGTTCAGCGCCCTGACGGACCCCAGCGTGGTCATCATGGCTGACAGCCTCAAGGTAAGCGGGGCGGGCAGGTGTGTTTCCCGGATTGGCCACCTCCGCGGTCAGGAGGCAGTTTGGCGTCTTTGGGACTGTGATCCGTATCAGTGTCCTGCGGCGGGCTCTGACCAAGGACCACGAACTGGGGGCTTCGGGACCCACTGTCCCCCCAGTTCTGGAGGCCAGCGCCTGACATCGAGCTGTGGGCAGGGCCCCTGGCTAAGGGGGGACACTTCCTGCTCCTCCAGCTTCTGGGGGCCCCGGGCTTCCCTGGGCGCACCCCTTCACCCTCTGCCTTCGCGTGGCCCCTGTGTGTCTGTGTCCACATGTCACCCCACTTCAGTGTGGCCTCATCTTCACCTCCTTAAATCTGCAGAGATCCTCTGTCCAGTTGAGGTGGGGGTCCCTGGCCCGTAGATGGGGTCCCGGGATGCGCACGGAGCCCTGGGCTGGGGCACGGAGTGGGGGAGGCTGCACTCTGGCTTCTCGGGTTGGGGTTCAGACTTCACTGAGCCCCGGGGACTTGTCTCCACGCCCCCCGTGGTGGAGGGAAAGCTGCCGAATCCCGGGGTTGCCTCAGACCCCAAGCAGGACAGGCCTATCAGCACCTGGTCATCTGCCGAGGCCCTGGGCCCCCGTGGGCTCCTTTCCTCCCCCCACAAAATTACGGATGAGAAATGAGGTACAAGAGTGAATTTTTTTCTTTGGAATGAGAAGAGAAATGACAGGTTTCACGATTTGCAGAGCTGACGACAGTCACATCTGTGGCTGGCTCCTCCCAGGACCCCGGGAGGGCCTTGACCCTAGCCTTGAGCCTCCCCAGTCAATCCGTTCCTGGCTTCAGTGCATGTCTCTGGATTCGCTGTCATTTATGTGCTCCTTGTACCAGCTAAAAGAGGACTCTGCCCGCCACCCAGCGCCGCCCCCACACTGTCCAGGTGCCCCTAGGGTGTCGGCCTCCCCGACAGCGGCGCCCCTCCCCGCAGATCCGGGGAACCCTGAAGAGCTGGACCAAACTGTGGTGCGTGCTGAAGCCGGGGGTACTGCTCATCTACAAGACGCCCAAGGTGGGCCAGTGGGTGGGCACGGTCCTGCTGCACTGCTGTGAGCTCATCGAGCGGCCCTCCAAGAAGGACGGCTTCTGCTTCAAGCTCTTCCACCCGCTGGACCAGTCCGTCTGGGCCGTGAAGGTACGGGTCGGGCCCCGGGGGAGGAGTGAGGCCTGTGAACACCGTGTGGGAGGCAGGCACTGGGGGGCGACCAGGAGGCGAAACTCGGGGCTCCGGGTGGGCCCACCACCACCCAGCTGCAGGGGGCCGTGGGGTAGGTCTCTCGGGGGCTGGGGATCAGATATGGTCCCTGGCCCCCCCAGGTGGATCCTCAGTGGGGCTGAGGGACGGGGCCGTGTGAGCAGCTGCTCCCAGCCCGGACCTCCCCGACCCAGCCTCCTAACCGGGAGCTGCCCGGCCCAGGACCAACGGGAGTCAGGTTACCAGATGAAATCCAGAATGTCCAGTTAAATTAGGATTCCAGACACACACCGAATAGTTCTTTTTAGTATAAGTATGTCCCAAATATTGCATGGGCTATACCCCTACTGGACAAAGCCGTATTCTTTCTTGAGATTTGAATTTAAGTGGGCATCTTGAACGTGCGTGTGCTGGTTCCGGCCGGGCTAAAACGGGGAGTCCCAGAGCTAGAGAGCCGTGGACGGAGCCACCAGCTCCCTCTCCTCTCTTGCTGCCAGGTGCCTGGAGGGCCTGCAGCCACGTGTGTGTCAGTGGGGGTTTGCGTGAGTCCGCGTGACCTGGGTGTCCTCCGACGTGACGCCGGGTCTCTGTCTCCCCAGGGCCCCAAGGGCGAGAGTGTGGGCTCCATCACGCAGCCCCTCCCCAGCAGCTACCTGATCTTCAGGGCCGCCTCTGAGTCGGACGGTGAGTCCCCGCCTGCCCTGCGGGTCTCCCTGGTGACCCCGCACGACGTGGGTGCCCTGGCCGACTTACAAACCGGTGCACATGACCACTATCAGTCCCTTCCACTGCCCCCCAAGAAAGGAGATGGCCAGATGCCACGGGACAAGTCTGGGCTCGGGCCAGGCAGGCCTGCCTCTGAGCCTCAGTTTCCCCAAAGTAAACCATGAATAGTAGCGCCCGGCTCCCCACTTGTCAGGACAACCTGATGACCTGATTTAAAGTCTGCAGATCACAGCTACTGTGTGCCAAGCGCTTGCCGGGCACCCCTGAATCGGTGGGTTTGGCCGTTACCATCTACATGTAATATATGACAAAAACGGGGCCCCGGCCACCTGCCAGCAAGGAGGGGGCCAGGCCTGGGTGGGGATCCGAAGTGCCCCAGGTGCGGCGCACGCTGTTGGAGCGCCCTCCAGTGGCTGCCTCGGGTAAATGCGGCTGCCCGCTTCCAGGCCCTCGGCGCCCAGAGCCTGGGGCTGGTGGCCTGCCTGCTGGTGCCACACCACCCCCTGGTGGACAGACGCCACATCCACGCTCCAGGAGGGACCGCCCGTGCTCTGGGGTGCCCGCAGTCTCGTGGAGAGAAAATCAGCTGTCAGACGAGGCCGATGGGGCTGAGCCATGAGCTGGGTCCCTGATGGGCTGAGGGCCATGAGCAGGGAGGGAGGGCCCACAGACCCTGTGGGTATGAGGGTGGGCTTCCTGGAGGATGAGGAGGGGGCTTCAAAGGATGCAGAGCATTCAGGGTGTCTAGTCCTTCGTGGTAACCACGAGGCGTGCCCCTGCAGGCCCTGCTCTTGTCACCCCCTCCTCTGCCCCACGAACATTCAGCCCAGGCTGGGCCTGCGGTGAAACCCTGTAGAACCAGGGCCACCATCCCTGCAAACACTCGCCTCCCCGTGCCAGGCCCCAGCCGTGCTCCCCAGAAGAACACTTAATGGGGCAACGCCTCTGAGTGGAGGGGCCGCCATTAGTAATCACACTGGGACATCGGGGGGCACCCTGGTGGCCACGTGTCCCCAAAGCTGCTAACACCCCCAGGGACAAGGAGGTGGTGCTGGTCGAACCCCCTGGCAGCCTCCACCGGGAAGGCAGCAGGGATGGGAGGGTTCAGCCGGCTCTGCCTCGGGGTCGCCCACTGCCCTCCTGGTCACGCTCTCCACCCTCTGGGGCTGCCGCTCTCAGGCCCTGGCCAGCCCTCCCTCCACGACGCTGCAGCCCCCTTCCCAGCCTGCCACCCACCCTCCGGGTCTGTGCTGCAGGCCCGCGGAGCACCCCCCCCCCCCCCCCCCCCCCCCCCCCCCGGGCCGGTGGGGCAGGCCCCCGGGGCCCCCCCCCCCCCCGCCGTGCCCCCTGAGACCCGTGGCAGGTGGTTCTCGTGACGCAGGGCCCTCCTCCCCCACTCCACATACAGAAGCTACAGGTGTCCGGGTCGGAATTGAGGCCCTGAGTCTTGCTAAGGTGTGACCTTGAGGGAGTGCCGTGAGCATCCTCTGAAGGGCATCTTCCTCCAGGCACGCATCTCTTCCTGGCTCGGGCCTGCCGGCTAAGGCCTTGTCCTTGCTCACCTCTGCCCGCCCCCCCTCACCTGCATGCACACCGACACGGCAGCAGTGCCTGTGCCCCAGGAGGATGGGGAAGGGACAGGGGTGTCTCTGGCGTAGGGGGGCCTCCCCGGGCTTGCAGTGGGCTCACCCCGTGCCGCCCTGCAGGCCGCTGCTGGCTGGACGCCCTGGAGCTGGCCCTGCGATGCTCCAGCCTCCTGCGACTCAGCACGTGCAAGCAGGGCCGTGACGGGGAGCCCGGATCCTCGCCAGACGCATCACCCCCCTCACTCTATGGGCTGCCCCCCTCGGCCACCACCCATGACCAGGATCTGTGCCCGTGAGCAGGGCCGTGGTGGGCAAGGGTTGGCCCCTCCCAGAAGCCCAGGTCTCCTTCCTGCTGGGGACCCCCAGGACCCTGGCTGTCTCTGGGACTAATATGTGGTCTCCTTGTGTGTGGGCGGGAGGGCCAAGCACCGTGGAGTCTGGCCACCCGAACCTCAGATCAGGAGGCAGGCCTCCTTCACTCCCCAGGGGCGGGGGCGCTCGGGCCGCGCCTCTGACCGGGGACCCACGGCGCCAACTGCCCCTCCAGGCTGAACGGGTCCTCCCTGGAGAACGACGCTTTCTCGGACAAGTCGGGGAGAGAGAACGCCGAGGAGTCGGACAACGAGATTCAGGACCACAGCGGGAAGACCAACGAGAGCGGGAGCGCCCGGTCGGAGACCCTGGAGGGCCCCGCGCCAAGGGGGACCGCGTACGTGGAGCAGGCCCACGAGGAGTTTGGGGAGGTGAGAGCCCGCCCCCCTGAGGAGCTGGGTGTCCCCCTGTACCTCACCGGCCTCCCTGAAGCAGACAGAGGCTGCAGAGCCTGGCCGGCCCCTTGGGCGGTGGGGGGAGCCTGTAGCACCCCGGGGACTGGGGGAGCAGGTCAGGGTGGCCACAACCCGGGGAGCACAGGTGGTCCATGAGGGCCCGGCTGAGGGTGTTGGGAAAGCCACTGGGGGGGGGTTAGGCGGGGACCCCTGGGGTCCAGGGGAGGCCTTCAGAAGGCCGAGGGGCGGAGGTAGAAGCCCCGGGCCTGCTAGGGAGGAGCGGTTCCCCAGAGGCCTTGGTCCCAGGTAGCCGTGGAGAAGGGCCAGGTTGGGGGTTCAGGACACATGGGAGGTGGAAGGACGGGTCCCAGTTCACCTCTGACAGCACCGTGGGGCTGGCAGCTGGGAGTAGGGACGGGCCCGTGATGGGGGGAAATGGTGCCCGTGAGGGGCAAGGGGCAGAGAGCGGGCAGCCCGAGGGGCCCTTCAGAGGCTGAGCACAGACAAGGCTCGGCTCCACAGGGGAACCTTGGGAGACCCGGCAGGAGACCTCAGGACAGGCGTGCAGGCACAGAGAGGCAAAGCAACTTGTTGAAGGCGGCCCAGCAGGGTGGTGATGGATACTGCTCCTCCCTGGGGGTGGCTGCCGTTGGGCCACAAACACAGACAGCCCTGAGTTCACATCCCACCTCTGCCTCATGCCAGCTCTGTGAGCTTGGGCAAGTCAGCTGTCCCCTCTGTGAGGCAGGGGCGCCCACGGTGTGGGTGCCCAGGGGCCACTGCAAAAGGAGGAGGCCTAGGGAGCAGGAGGGGGGTGCACGGGCAGCCCGGACACCCCCTGCCTCCTGTGCCCGAATCCAGCTCCGGGCCTCCTCAGGAGCCGGCCTGGGCCCGCACGGGCCCCTCCGGGCGGGCATGGGACCCTTGCCGAGGGCGGGCAGGGGTCAGACAGGGCGGGACTGGCCGGCCGGGCAGCGGGGGCCGGGCCGCGGAGGGCGCCTCCTGGTAGCTAGAGCCAGCCGCCGCTGTCCCACCCCGCCTGGCGGCTCCCCGGGCGGCACGCAGCTGGGGCCCGACCGCAGCCTCTCTGCCAGCAGCTGGGCCAGGCGTCCCAGGTAGAGACTGTGTCGGAAGAGAACAAGAGTCTCATGTGGGTCCTGCTGAGGCAGCTGCGGCCGGGCATGGACCTGTCCCGCGTGGCGCTGCCCACGTTCGTCCTAGAGCCCCGCTCCTTCCTCGACAAACTCTCTGACTACTACTACCACGCCGACCTGCTGTCCAGGTGAGCGAGCGGCGGGTGCCCCACGCACCTGTGCACACCACAGACCCCAGCCTCCCTCGGCCCCTGCCCGCCCCCTTGCCCCCGCCATGGATGTTTCCGAAGGGGCCCTGGGGCCCCGGGCTGAGCTCCGTCCATGGTCCCTTGCTGGCTCAGCCTGCTAGTGGGCCCAGTCTCCAAGATGAGGAGCAGCTCATGGGGGGGGCGGGCAGCTGTGTGTCAGGTCAGGGCCCCCGCCATCAAAGGTGAGTGTGGGGCAGCCCCCAGCACCTTCTAGCGTCCTGAGTTCTGGGCCCTGGCCTCGGTGCCCTCAAGCTGAAGCCCGAAGGCTGGAAAGGCTGGAAAGAGCCCGTGCAGAGGAGCTCCCAGACGCCTTCCTGAAGGCAGAGCCACCCTGCCAGCCCTGAGCCAGCGACGCCCTGTCTGCCCAGGCCCTCTGGTTAGGTGGAGAATTCGGGTCCCTGTGGGAGGGTGGGAGACTCCCCACGGCCCCGGGGCTGGGCAGGACAGGAGGGGCCCAGGTGACAGCGGGTGGACGGCAGGATAGAAGGAGCACAGGGAAGGGGGTGGCCGGGGACCCGGCCCGGAATGAGTCACTCTCCCATGCTGTCCCAGGGCTGCTCTGGAGGGGGACGCCTACAGCCGCATCAAGCTGGTGCTACGGTGGTACCTGTCTGGTTTCTACAAGAAGCCCAAGGTAAGAGCGGAGGCCCAGCGCGCCGTCCCCCCGGCCCCATACCTCCCTGCCCCTCGGAGAGCCTGGGGCCACCCTGACCCCACACGGTCCCCACTGTGGCCCCCGGTCCTCAGAGATGGGGGCAGCACCCTGACCTACCACCCAGGGACCTCCTAGCCAGGCCAGGCCCACAGGGGTGGTCCCAGTTCCCTGCAGGGCCCAGGCGGGACTTCCACACCCCAGAGAAAGAGCGACCACACACAGCGGTGCTGGGAAAGGGGCTCTCGACCCTGCACCTGGAGGAGCCCCTGGGACCTGTGGTTTTCATGGTGTGTCTTGTAGTCATAGAAACCTTTTTGAGAACCCGAAACTCAGGCTCTGCTGAGCACAGGGTGCTGGGGGGAGGGGGAGGGAGTGACCGGAGGGTCCCGCAGCCCCGCCCCCTCCCCTGGCTGCTGGGGCGCCCGGGGTTCCCCGCCGTGTGAGTGTGAAAGCATCATTCTGTTTCCACTTCACCGTGCATGTGGGGAACTGAGGCCCGGGGGGCGGGCAGGGGTGGGCGAGCGACGGGCCCAGAGTCACACTTAGGCCCGAGCGCAGACGCGGCTCACAAGGGCAGCGGCAGGTGTCCTCCCCGGGCATCTGCAGGCACTGAGTGCTCACAGAGCCTCGTCTCCAGGGGGAAGCGCGCACACACACACAACACGCACCCACGCAGCTGGAAGTGATGCACCTGGCGGGTGGCATGAAGGGTCAGCCGGCTGCTCCCGACCAGATCAGGGCGTCTGAGCCCCAGAAGGAGGGCTCTCCTGAGTGGGGATGAACTTGGGCCTTTTGGGGAGCAGAAAGGTGGTGAGTGGGGCCGAAGGGGAGGCAGGGGACAGGGGAGCAGACCTGCGGGATTTGGGATTTTATGAAACGGTCAGTAGAAGCCACCGGGGCCTTGAGCAGATTGTGCACCAGTTCCGTCCAAAGTCCAGGGACAGCACGACCTGGGGAGGGTCTCAGGTCCCCCTGGGAGCCAAGAACCAGACAGGACATCTCATAGGCTGCCCCTCGGAATGTGAACCATGGGCAAAGCATGTTCTCCCCAGAGCACAGTGGGGTGCAGTCCCCAGGTGCTGGTGGCAAACCAGGCCCTCCCGTCTAGAGACTGCCTCCCTGTGGGCTCCTGGGGGTGTGGGCAGTGGGCAGCCAGTCCCCCACATTGGCCCTTGGTCCACACTCCATCCCATGTGGGTCCGTGGCCCACCCATTCCTCACATGAGCTTTCCATTCGTTGCTTGCAGGGGATCAAGAAGCCCTACAACCCCATCCTGGGGGAGACCTTCCGCTGCTGCTGGTTCCATCCCCAGACCAACAGCCACACCTTCTACATAGCGGAGCAGGCAAGGCCCCCGCCGCCCCCAGGCTGGACACCAGGCTCCTCGGCGGGCAGAGTCTGAGCCCTGTGCGCGTTCCGGGTGCCGCCACCCCCCCCCCCCCCCCCGCCCATCAGGATTCCCCCAGGAGATGCAGGGCCAGCACTGTGACAGCAGGAAGGGTTTCCTTGGGTGGGGTCCGTACATCTCATCCCCCCAGATGGCTACCAGGCCCACGACTCAGTGTCCGCTTCCCTAGGCAGCAGGCGTGAGAGTGGGAATGGCCCCACGCCGAACGGCCCGGAGGGACGAGGTGGGGCAGGGGGAAGGGGGCTTCTCATCAGGGAGCCGGGCTCTCTCCTCCCCTGGGGCCATTCCAGAGCGCCTCTCTGCCCACAGGTGTCCCACCATCCTCCCGTGTCCGCCTTCCACGTCAGCAACCGGAAGGACGGCTTCTGCATTAGTGGCAGCATCGCGGCTAAGTCCCGGTTTTACGGTGAGTGGGGGGCGGGCCTCCCCTGGGATCTCCCGGGGCCTGGGGGAGATGGGGGGAGGACTGGGCCCCCAGATGCGGTGGCCAGGTTTACCTCCCTCCCCACCTCTCCGGGTCAGGGACCTGGAGCCAGGCAGAGCCTGCGGGACCCCCACCCCTGGGCCATAGGGAGGGCACCGCTTGTGGGTGAGAACAGGCGCCACAAGCCACGTGTGGCTTTTAGATTGATCCAAAGTAAGACACCGCTGCGCAGTTGGCCCGGCCACATCACACGTGCTGTGTGGCCATGCGTGATTAGTGGTCCCTGTGTCAGCACAGAGCGGAACAGTTCCGGGGCCACAGAAGTTCCACGGTGGGGGGTTGACAATCAGAGCCGGGTTTGCATGTAGCCTCCAGCCTCAGAAGCCCTCCCTGGGAGCCGAGCCTTGTCCGCCCTGCGTCGGGGCGCTTTTCCAGAATCTGAATTTCAGGGAGGTGAAGTGACCCACAGCTTAGGTGAGAGGCCCAGCTGCCCCATGGTCACCTGGCTGGAGGGACCGGGGATGCTTTGCACCTGCTAGAAGGGAGCTCCGACCGTGTGACTTAGGGGGTGGGCCCCCAGGTCCTGAGGTCCCGCATCTGCTCACTGGTCCCACCCACCACCACCCCATCTCTCCAGGGAACTCGCTGTCGGCCCTGCTGGACGGCAAGGCCACACTCACCTTCCTGAACCTGGCAGAGGACTACACCCTCACCATGCCCTACGCCCACTGTAAAGGTGAGAGGCCCCTGCCCCCAGGAGGGCAGAGCCCCAGCCGGCGCGCGGACGCTCTCGTCCTTTTTTGTTGAGCTTTCCCCCTGGCTCTTTGATGACTTCCTAGCCCGGAAAGTTGTCTGACAAAATGTTTTCAACTTGAAGCGCCCACTTCCTGTCACAGACCGCAAACCAGATCTGCTTCTTAAGAGTGGTTTTGTCATTGTTTCTAGAACTTTCCAGTAAAAGAAACATAAGCCTCTTTTTTTTTTAAGATTAAAATTTACAGGTTTCCAATCCGGATCCAAGAGGGCGGGTGTCTGGTAACCCACTGGCCTGACAGCTGAACCGTCTCCCCCCTCCCCCCTTGCTTCCCCCCTCACCACGCCCAACCCTGGAGGGAAAGCCCCTTTGTAAACAACACTGCTCTGGGCTGTGGTTACTCTTCCTTAGCCACTTCACACACACAGTCAGAGTAACGTAACACTAACCAGCCCTCCCCCCAAGAGGCCGTGGCTGCAAACAGCCTGAGCCATTTCCTTTTGGGGATTGCTTTGTCCTAAGCATATCCCACTGGGATTTGCAAACTCGGCAGGAATAATCCCCCTCCAGGATCACACCACCAGGCAGATACCCACTTCCTTTTTGTTTTGTTTCATCTTCCTTTTGCTCCCAGTTGCTTTTGTAATTTCATTTTGTAGGTAATTATGGAAATGCAGTATTTACCTGGATCCAAAGTTCGAAACTACAAAAGCAGGTGTAGTCAGAGAAAGCTGGCATCTCTCTCTCTCTCTCTCTCTCTCTCTCTCTCTCTCTCTCTCTCTCGATGCCCGCACCCCCTGCCCTCCAGCTGCCTCTCCCACTTGGTGCGAGCATCCTGGATGGCTCCCCAGGCAAGCCGCACGCAGGAGCACGGGGCTCCCGTCCTGTGCACTGGTGGGATCTGGGGGCACTCCCAGCCCTTCTGCTCTTTCCCTTCTGCTTGTCTTTTTTATGTTTTCACTTTATCCCACACGTCTAAGTGTTTTATAATACACACAGCTCTTCTCTTTAGTTAGATTAAATCCTCCACATGGCAAGAAACAGAAGATTCGTTCTTTCTTTCATTAACTAAAAAATACTTGTATTAGGGATGCCTGGGTGGCTCAGTCGGTTAAGCATCTGCCTTCAGCTCAGGTCGTGATCCCGGGGTCCTGGGATCGAGTCCCGCATCGGGCTCCCTGCTCGGCGGGGAGTCTGCTTCTCCCTTTGCCCCTCCCCCCTGCTCTTGTGCTCTCTCTCTGTCAAATAAATAGATGAGTGTAATCTTAAATAAATATGTATAATGCATGTATTAGTTTAAACAAACACGCCGGGCCAGTCCTGGGCGCAGCAGCGAGCAGGGAAGATGGAGGAGCCCACCTTGGGGCCCGAACTACAGAGCAAGTGACAGATGGTAATGAGCGTCTCATGGGGGCAGCGGGGCCCCTGGGAGCCTGGAAAGGGCGTCCTGGAGGAAGGAACCTGCCAAGGGTGGGACAGTCCCCGGACGGGGCAACTCTCAGGGGCAGAGGCCCTAGGGGCAGAGGGTCACTGAGGAAACATGCGTGGGCCGGGTTCTGCCTCCCGCCCCCACCAGCTCTTCTCTGTCCCAGGGACTCTGCCCCCGGGGGCTCCTGTCCTCCTCCCCAGGCTCTGACACTGGCCTCCTCAGGGTCAGCGGTGCTGTGTGGGTACGCAGTGCCAGGACTGAGCAGGAGACTGTTTCAGGGATCCTGTATGGCACCATGACCATGGAGCTGGGCGGGAGAGTGACCGTCGAGTGTGAGAAGACCAACTTTCAAGCTGAGCTGGAATTCAAGCTCAAGGTAGCACTAGCTGCAGCACACCCCAGGGATGGTTTCTGGAGCAGGTGCACTCAGGAGGGGGCAGCTCTTGGCATCTCCATAGCACAGCCAGGGCCCAGAGAGAGGAAGGGGCTCCTGCAGGCCACACAGCAGAGCCAGGACAGGCCCAGACCCCTTCCCAGCCATGGGGCACACAGGCCTCATAGGCCCCCTGCATCCCTGAGCTCAGGCTGAGGCGTTGGGCGAGTGTGGCAGCTTCCAGCTTTGGGTCTCAGCCTAGCTGGCCTCCCACGTCCCGGGGGCTGAGAGCTGGCACCTCATGAGGAAGGGGCCTCCTCCTCCCTGGCTCACTGCGGGGCGCCAGGGTGCTGGGGAGGCCACCGGCCCCTCACCAGCCCTGTCTCGGGGTGTCCCCACAGCCTTTCTTTGGGGGCAGCACCAGCATCAACCAGATCTCGGGGAAGATCACGTCAGGGGAGGAGGTCGTGGCACGTCTCAGCGGGCACTGGGTAAGAGCTGCCGTCCGGGGCAGGCAGAGGTGGGCCCATGGGCATAGGAACAGCTGCGGGGCCAACCCCTCTGTTCCTGCCTGGGCCATCTGGGGCAGGACCGAGAAGTGTTCCTCAAGGAGGAGGGCCGAGGAAGCATGGAGCTCTTCTGGAACCCGAGCGGGGAAGTCCGGGGGCAGAGGCTGAAGAGGCACACGGTGCTGTTGGAAGACCAGACAGAGCTGGAGTCGGAGAGGTGAGGCGCCCGCGGGCACCTGCCGGACCCCTGGACCCAGGCCTGGTGTGGATGGGCAGGGTTGCCGTGCAGTGAGCGTGAGCTGGGGTGTCCCTGGCAGGGAGGGGGGACCAGAGGGGACCCCCTGTGACAGACACCATGTCCCGCTGGGGCAGCTGAGGGAGAGAGAGTGAGGCCTGGGGACAGCAGATGCCCAGCCGCTCCACAGGGAGTACCCTGCCAGTGGGGGTATGAGCTCAGGGTCGAGGAGTACCACCTCACTTTGAATCACCGGCGCTCTAAGACACTCAGGCTCCCCAGGAGAGAGTGAGCTCCCTGTCCCTGGAGGCAAGCAAGTGGAGGTTGCTCTCTAAGCCTCCCCTCCGGCGCCCAGGGGGTGGGACCGTCCAGATCACCTGCTCAGAGCACATGCCCCACCCCCAGGCTCTGGCAGCATGTCACCAGGGCCATCGGCGAGGGCGACCAGCACAAGGCCACGCAGGAGAAGTCTTCACTGGAGGAGATGCAGCGGCAGCGGACCCGCGAGCGCCAGCAGAACCTCGTGCCCTGGAAACCACAGCTGTTCCGGCTGGACCCCGCCACCCAGGAGTGGCGCTACCGGCATGAGGAGTGAGTGCGGCGGTGGGGGGCTCCCCTGGAGGGGCGAGTGATGGGGGAGGAGGGGTTCCTGTGGGGGCTCACTGGCCGGCCCTGGCAGTAGGTCATCTCTGGGGCTCTGGCTACTGCTGGGAACAGGCCGAGATGGGGCCCCCTCCTCCCAAGGGCCACTGCCCCTGCCAACGGATGCCCTCTGGACCCTCCAGCCGTAGCCCCTGGGACCCCCTGAAGGACATCGCCCAGTTTGAGCAAGATGGGGTCTTGCACACAGTGCGGCGGGAGACCATGGCCCACCAGACCACCTTCCTGGGCAGCCCGGGGCCCAGGCACCAGGTCAGCTCCCCCAGGGTCCCTGCCCGGGCTCAACCTCAGCAGTAGGAAGGGACTGTCAGGCTGTAGGTGAGGCCGTCTCTCCCAACCTCACCCTTACCTGTCTGCCCCTCCCCCTTCGGTAGCCCCCCACACACTCACCCCTGCCAGCAGGGCCCCCTGCTCCCTGGAGCCGCCCTCCGTGGTGCCAAGAGCACACGGTGCCAGTCTGCAGAGGAGGAAGCTGAGGCTCAGGGCAGCCTGGGGGCTTGCTCAGCCAGGAGGAGGAGGAGGCTGCATTTGCAGGGATGCTGAGGGGAGGCAGGGCCGGAAGCGGGGAGGCTCCAGGAGGCCTGCAAGAGGTTTCCGGAGACAAACACCAGGGTGCGACTTGTGAGGAAGCCTGGAGTGTCTTCCCTGGTGCCACGTGGGCGGAGGCCACAGGATGACAGTTCCCCCCTCCCCCCCCCGTACTATAGGTTCCGTGTGTGGGCAGCTGCCTCCCCTGCACATGGTGGGAGGCCAGTGATCACATGGGCAGAACGGGCATGACCCTTCTTGCCCAGTGGCCCCAATTTCCCTGCAAGCAAGGGTCACAGTATCTCACTGCCCATGTGTCCCGCCCCCCCCCCCCCCCGCTGTAGCCCCCCAGGCCGGGCAGCCCCACCCCTTCCACAGGCACCTGCCCACCTGGATGCCCCCCGCATCCCCCTCAGCCCCTCCAGTCGGCCGCGACGCAGCCACTCCTGTGCTCTGGGGAACTACCGGAGGTCCCTCTGGAGAGGTCGCCTCAGGACTGGGGGCGGCCTAGCTGTCAGCTCACACGGTGGGACGGGACCTGCCGTCACGGCCCCGGAGTCAGAACCACCCGCAGCCACGTCTTCTAGAGCAGCCCCGTCCCCAAGGCCGGCACGTCCTGTGCCCGCGGGCACAGCTGTGGTGGACCTGGGTGAGCCCCCGGCTGCAGTGGCTCCGTCTTTCTCCAGGGGCCTGGCCCGGACCGGCGGCTCCGCAAGGCCAGCGACCAGCCCTCCGGCCACAGCCAGGTCACTGAGAGCAGCTCCACACCCGAGTCCTGCCCAGAGCTCTCAGACGAGGAGGAGGAGGAGGAGGAGGAGGAGGAGGAGGAGGAGGAGGAGGAAGACGAGGGGGAGGGGGACGGCAGCACCTTCATTCCCGGTGAGCCCTCCTGGGCCGGCTACTCTGCAGGGTGGGAGAGGCCAGAGAAGCACCTTCCCTGGGCAGCTGTGTGCTGCACCTTGACCGCCCTCCCAGGGTCCTCCACGCCTCCCCGAGCCCAGGGGCAGACCAGGGGTGCGGAGGGCAGCAGTCCCCAGCCCTGCACTCAGACGGTGCGGCACCCCCTTTGGCTGGCAGGGGCGGTGCAAGGGGCAGGGCTGGACAGTATCCGTCTCTCCGTATGACCATCTGATTGTGCCTCCTGTTGTCCTCACGGGTGTGCCGGCTCCTCCCCGACTTTGTCCCCGTCTCTAGGTGCATGAGCTGTGCCTTGCCATTTCTGTCTCCCAGGGCTTATTAGAGGCCCGCTGAGCTTGGGGGTTCCCTCTATGCCTGTCCGTCGACTCCCCGTGTTGTTAGCTTCACCTGAAGGCTCCCAAGAGGTGGGGCAGGGGCCCAAGCCGGGCACGACCCCGGGACCCTGCGTGGCGGCTCCCCGGACATGCCGGCTCGTCTTTGATTCTCCCTCCACCCCCTGTCCCCTGGGTCCTGTGACCGGTGGCCGGACATCCCAGGCAGCAGGAGCCCGTGCCCACGGTGTGGGAAGGAGGCGCGGCGGCTGCAGGCACTGCACGAGGCCATCCTGTCGATCCGGGAGGCCCAGCAGGAGCTGCACAGGTAAGTGTCGCTCCCGGGGACGGGGCCAGGGAGCTGCTGAGGCCGGGGAGGCCGTGCGTCGCTCAGAACTAGAACCCCCGTGGTTTGCAGAGGGTCTGATGGATGGAGGACAGGAAGAAGGTGGCCAGCTCTACCCGGGGCAGGCCGGTAGGGGGGTTGCGGGGGGGAGTTGGGGGTGCCACACTGTAGGGGGTCTTGTTTAAACAGGATGAGCCAGCGATGCTTGGTCCCTGAGCTCTGTGCAGGGAAAAAGCAGCTGGGGGCTGGAAGTCCAGGCATGGGCTGGCCCAGCCGCACTTGAGTCAGAGTGAGTCAGCCCCCTGGCACCACAGAGGAGGCTGGCCACGAGGCAGGGAGCCAGGAGAACAGCCAGACGTTTCTGCAGACACACAGTGCAGCCAGTCAGGGCGAGGTTACGAGTGTCCTGGGTGTGGCCCTGACATAGTCTACAGACGGGGGCTTATGCAATAGACGTTCACTGTCCCCCAGTCCAGGAGTCCGACGCCCGGGATGCAGGCGTGGGCAGGGCTGGATTCCCCCGAAGCCTCTCTCGTGGGTGGACAGCGGTGCTCTCTCTGGGTCCTCACGGGGTCATCCCTCCATGCGGGGCTGTGTCCTGATGTCCTTTTCTTATAAGGACCCCGGTCACACTGGATTAGAGCTCACTCCCGTGACCTCACTTAAACTGAATCGCTTCTTAAAGACCCCTTCTCCAAACAGAGTCACATCTGACCTGTTGGGTCAGGACTCCAACATGGGACTATTGGGGCAAGGTGGTCCAGCTCAGCCCGTCACAGCACGAGTGGAAAAGAGGCTACAAGAGGCCCAGCTCCCCCAGCCATGAACCCCTTTCCCTGGAATCTGCGCCTGGGGGCCCCTGCGCACTAAGCCATCCATTGAAGGTAGGGATGCACCCCCACCCTGGCTTAGCCACTCTCCCCCCCTGTCGTTGCAGGCACCTCTCAGCCATGCTGAGCTCCACGGCAAGGGCTAGGCAGGTGCCGGCGCCAGGCCTCCTGCAGCACCCCCGATCCTGGTTCCTGCTCTGTGTGTTCCTGGCGTGTCAGCTGCTCATTAACTTCATCCTCAAATGAGAGCCCTTTGGGGGCAGCGTGGGCATCCAGCCCCACCTCTCCCTCCCAGGCACCAAGCACTTTCAGCCAGCCCAGGGAGGCAGAGAGAGCTGGCGAGCGTGACCACTGTGGACGGACGGGCCCACGGCGGCAGGGGGACAGCCGGAGGGACCTGGGGGGCCGCACCGGCTCCTCCAGGGGAGGTGCTGACCTTCCCCGTGGGACCCTCCACCCAGTGCCGGCCTTAATGCTAAAGCCAAGTGCAGCTTTCGTCATGCCTCTCCCCCCTGGTCAACTTGCCTGCCCGTTCCCGGTCCAGCAGCCGCTTGTCCCGTGGGAGTGCCGGAGGGGGGGGTGGACGGCCTGCCCAGGCACTGCGCGGTCACTCCCCAGCAGGGGTGAGTGGGGAGCTTTGGGTGAGCAAGCCGCAAGTCCCAGAGGTTCCCAGAGCCTCCTCTGTCCTGATGCACAGGGCTGTCCTTCCTGAGAGCCTCCCATGCTGCCGGGGTCGCGCTAAGAGGGGCCTCCCTCGGACTCTAGGGTAGACTGGAGCTACTGTGGAGAGAACATTTGGATTTTACTCTGCTTCTGTGCTGTGTGGACGGGAGCCCCGTGATACACCAATGGCACCCACCCTCACCTTGCACAGCCTGGGCCTGCCAAGGGGAGTGGACACAGCTATGCGTGCGTGGGCAGGGGTGCGCAGGGGGCGGCCGCACGGGCCCCAGCACTCCCTGGGATAGGGAAGCCCAGGTTTGCCACTTTGCTGGGACTGATGCACGGTCCTCCCGTTTTACACTTTTTTAATAAACGCAATTGCAATATTTTAGGCAGGCTGCAAGCAGCGTCTGGCGTCTCGCCTGTTTCTGTGTCAAGTGCCGCCATGTGCGTGTGTGTGTGTGTGTGTGTGTGCATGCGTGTGTACGCGAGCATCTGCACATGTACCTGTAGATACACCCTGAGCCTTAAAACTATGTGGGGGAGGTGCCATCGGGACCCAGCGTCCCATTTTCCAGATTTTGTATCCACGTTCTTGTTCCCTGCCGGCAATGTGGGGACGTGTCTGTGCCCCAGGCCTTGAAATAAACAGCACGCGCACGCTCTGTGTTGTCTTCTTGGGGACTTCTGGCAATGTGGGGGGTGGCTTCCCAGGGAGAGATGCAATGCCAGCAGGCGGCTGTCGGGAGGGACCCGAGGCCCTGAGGATGGAGAGGAGGGATCCAGGGGAGGATGGGGGGCAGGGTGCAGGCACCCCCTCCCTCAGGGCCTCACCGCCTCAGCCCCTGGGCTTCAGGACAGGGTGGCGCTCGGGCTGGGCAGAGGAAGGGGCAGGTGGGTGCTGCCACTGCAGACCCTCTGGCTGCCTTGGGCAGAATGGACTCCAGGATTGGATCGTCCCCGGAGAGCGGTGCCCCCAGACTGGCCCTGGCCCCGCCCCCCCACCCCCCTTGTAGAGGCCACCCACTGTTGGAGAATGGGTGCCCTCGGGGTCCCAGCTTCCCACGTCTCGATACCAGGGCTGGTTGCTCTAAGAGGAAGCTCTGGGCCACCTCCTCTCACTGCACCACCCACGTGTGGCCTGACTCACCAGCTCCAACACCATGCCCCACAGCAGCCTCAGAATCACCTCCAGAATTCTGTTTACGTCCTTGGTATGCCAAAAGTTCTGCCAAATCAACAAGGGAAAGAAAGGTGGGTGGGCATAACCCCGCAGGAATAGCTGGTCCAATGCCCAGATGGGTGGTGACCAGGGCATCACAGGGCACTTGGAAATAGTCCAAGCCCGGGCAGGATTTCTGGGTCCTTTGGGTGAACTCTTGGGGATATAGACACCAGTGGTGATATTTTAGGGTGATGTGGGTGCCCAGAGCTGCGCCTCCCATCCCCGTAGCCAGTACTGCCCTTCCCGGCCCCCTTGAAATGTGCCGCGATGGCCATCAGCCCCAGCTGGGAGGGTTGCAGCACGGGAGTGCAGGGTGCCCCAGGGGGCAACGAGCCTCTGGCCCGCCCTGCCCCCCCCCCACGGCACCCCAGGGCAGGAAGGAGATGCACTTGCCCAGGGACACGGTGACGGTCACCGCACACTGACTTCTCATCTCCTTGGATGGATCCCCAGCGACTCTCAGCAGCAGGAACTTTCAGGAGAAGCAAGCGGGTCCGGGCAGCACTGGGAGGTCCCCCGAGGAGCCCCCGTGCGTGGGGGCAACAGGCAGTTGCCGGCTCCCTCCCTGCGTTCGGGGCCCTTGCCCTGGACAACGTCGTACGTAGGAGGGTCGGGGGATGGCGGGGGGTAGTGTGCCCAGGGGCCTCAGTAGGCATGACTGTGCCATACACTGAGCAGGTCCTCTGACCTCTGACCCCAGCTTAGGCCTCCGCAGCAAATGTTCCCATCTCTCTTCCACAGATGAGGAAACCCGCTGCAGGCGTTCAAGACCCCCCAGTACTCATGAAACAATCTCCCCCGGTTCCTCCAATCCTAGCGCCTCGCTCTGTCCGCCTGCCCCCCCCCCCCCCCTCCCCCCCTTGCCCCGGATCCCGGAAAATACCAAATTTCTGTCTCTCTGGATTGGCCTACTGGCACATTTCCGTAAATAGACTCCTACAGCAGGTGTCCTTCTGTGTCTGGCTTCATTCACGTAATGTTTCGGGTGCCCCCGTGTTGTGGCAGGAGCGGGAGGCAAGATATGTCCCCCGGACTGAGAAGGCACTTTGAGACCAGAAATCGGGGCCGGCCACTTCCCCGGTTTGCTCAGATTGCTCGGGGCGACTCCCTGACGGGGGCGTCGAGCGGTCAACGATCCTCGCTGAACACGGCGGAGGCCAAAGACGGATCGGCGTTGTCCACACTGCTCCACCTCTTGTGTAGTGTGTGGCGCCACGTTTTACGTATTCATGCCCCCTGTGAAGGACGTCGGGCCTGTATCCACTTCTCGGCTGTTGTGAATAAAGATGCCACGAACGTCTGTGTACACGCTTTGGTGTGGATGTGTGTGTTCACTTTTGACACATCCGTTTTTCGTCAATTCAAACCTTCTCTATGGTTCTAAGTACTTCTAACGCCATGTGCTGTCACACCTCTTCTAAGACTTGTCAAACTGTGTCAAAACCAAGAAAACCCAAAGTCCTGTCCTAGATGATAAGGCCGACCTGACGACACTTTCTTTTTGAGGGTTGTCTTTTTTTTTTCTCAGAGATGGGGGAGACTGTTTTAAATCTGAAAAGTCAGTTGGAACCTGAATTCCAGCTGAGCAGGAACAGGGCTGTCAGCCACAGCACGGGGACCTCACGCTCCGGTTGGCAAAGCAGAAATTGTGGTTGTCTGGGGACACACACCCTGAGCCGGGCTTCACCCGGAGGTGCGGAGCCTGAAGGACTCCATGAAATTCTGGGTTTTGCTCCTTTACCTGCCTCTACTCTTGCTGGGACCTGAACCCCCACTTTACACGTGCCTCATAGTGCAAAGAGTTGTCTGTCCTCCCTGTAAGGACAAGGAGCTCATGATTTCCTTAAGAGTCTTCCAGCACAATAGACAACACCTAAGGAAGGACTGGGTGAGAGTGAGCCGGTGAAGCCATCGTAGGCACATTCCAGAGCACCGGCGCTAGACAACTGCACACCAAGCCCCCAGGGTCCCAAGCAATCATTGTTTTAGGAAGGACACCTGGGCCCTTGTCCTGGCTCTAACTAGTTCCAGAGAGGACAGGTGGCATCTCTACGGTTTTCTGCAGTAAGATGGTGACATCTCTGAACAGAGAGTTTTGCTGCTTCCGTCCAATTTGGATGCCTTTTATTTTTTCCCTTGCCCATCGCTCTGGCCGATGTCTGGGCTTTGAAACAGTTACAGGGAGTAGCGCTTTTGGCGTCCCCCCAGACACACGATGCACGTTCTAGGAGGAAACGTCATTCATTAGGACACAGAAATGCTAAGTAAGTCGTGTTGCCGAAGGTCTTGAAACTAGTAAAAGTTCTCTTTTCTCAGTTTGACTGAGCCCCGAGGGAGCGTACCTAGACAGCCGGCTGGGGAGCCTGCCCCACTTCCTGAAACCGGTGTCAGGACGAGGTCTGTCTCCGCAGCAATTGCCGAAATGCCGGGGCAGCATGAAACCGGAGATAAGCGACCACAACAAGACCACCTCGTCTGTCTTCAACCTCAGGCGAGATATCGTGCCGCTCGGTGGTGACACCCGGCCGACTGGAGTTCCCGGGGCGGTTTTCTGGAGAAGACCCAGCAAGAGCGCCCTCAGGGGCGGCGCATCCGGGACCCCCGCCGCCCTGGAGCTCTCTGCCGGTTCGCACCTTCACTTAATGAACTCCCCCTTCGCCCTCTCGTGTCGGCGACGCGCGCTCTTCCGCACCCCGAGACGAGAGCCCTGCCGCCCGGCCTCACTTGGGCTGGACGTCTACTGCCGCGAATCGGCTCTGGGTGGGTTGGTTTTTAATGACTCCGCTCTCGTTGCGGGAAAACACGTAACATCTCCCATCCGACGCAGGGCCGGGCGCCCAGCTGTGTCGCCCGAAGTCCATTCGTGCGGTCGCACGCCCAGCCCCACCGTCCGCCCCCAGAACTTCCCAGCTTTTCCCCAAATGCAGCTCTGTCCCCAGGAACCACTAGCCGGCGCCTCCCCTCGTCGTCGTCGGCTCCGCGCTCGCCCCGCTCCGGGGTGCTCGCGCTCGCTCTCTCAAATCAATGAATAAGAGCGCGCGCACGAGGGGACGGCGGGGCAGCGGCGGAGGGAGGAGCCCGCCCGCGGAAGGACCCGGAGGCGGCCGCCGCTCCGCTTCGGGACCGGGTTCTGGCCCGGAGCCCGCGGCCGGCGCTCGGAGATGACGCACACGGGCCCGTCCGCGCCCTCGGCCGCCCTTTGAGGGGCCGAGCGGGCGGCGAGGCTCCGCCCACCAGGAGCCCCGCGCTCTAGGATAGGTAGAGGCCGGCTCGCCGGAGGGAAGTCCCCGCCGGGGGCTCCGCCCACCAGGAGCCCCGCGCTCTAGGATAGGTAGAGGCCGGCTCGCCGGAGGGAAGTCCCCGCCGGGGGCTCCGCCCACCAGGAGCCCCGCGCTATAAGATAGGCAGAGGCCGGCTCGCGCGAGGGAAGTCTCCGCCGGTGGCGTTTCCGGCCGCCGCTCGGAAATCGGGCGGACTGAACCGGTCCTCAGCTGTCTGTTCGTCGACTCCACTATGAGCGGGAGGTCGAGAACCTCATGCGCCCTGCGGCTGTGGGCCCTGCTGCTCCTCCACGGAGCCGCGGTGAGCGGTGCGGGGCTGCGCGGAGCGGCCTGGGGGCGGGGCGCGGGGAAGGGACCTGCGGCGGCCGGGAGGGCGCGTGGAGCAGTAGGAGAGGCGCGGGAGCGGTCGGGGGGGGGGCCCATGAAGCGGTCCCGGGTGGGGGGGGATGCTGGCACAGGTGGGGGGCCCGGGGCGGCGGGGTCGAGTGGGGGCGGGGTCCGGTTTGGGAGCCGGAGCGGGCGGGGCGGCCGAGGCGCGTGGAGCGGTCCCGGAGAACCCTGCAGGCCCGGACACGCCGGCCGCGGTCTGGGAAGGGTCCCGGAGCCCCGTGAGGGGCCGGGCAGGCGCGGCAGGCCGCGCGCGTTCCCCGGGTGCGGACGGAGCCCGTACGTCCCTCGGCAGCGAGCGTGAGTCACTGCTGCTGGGGCGAGCCCTGCTGGCGCTCGGCTGTTCTCGGTGGCTTCAGACTCCGGAGAGAGTTTGCGGCCGGGCTCCGGTGTGCACGACTCTCGAGGAGCTGCAGGAGCGCGCGCGGTCGTGGAAACAGGGCGGGGGCAGCGGGGAGGGGCAGGAGGCTGCGCGAATTTTCGCGGGAAGCGTGGTCTTTAATTTGCTACAAATCACTGTGGCTGTTATTATCAGCCATCGCACGTTCACGCAGAAATGGTTTGGTGGCGAGACGGTCGCATTATATTGGGACCAATGATAATATTTGATAACGTATCCGAAAACCTCAAGCGCGGAGAATCGGATTGCGGTGCCACGGAGTGTTAGCCTCAAACCACAGTGTGCAAGTTTGAGTGTCGCCGCCCCCCTGAGCGAGCTCAACGTCCACAGTCGGGCTGGGGGCTGGGGGCTGCGGGCTGCGTCGTCCTCTTTCTGCCTGAAAAGGACAGGAGACCCCGGCTCTCCACACCCAGCGCTCTGCTGAGTTTCCCCGAAGCCAGTTTGGCTAGAGCGTTGCAGTGTTTCTCCCCTGAAAAGGGTGTCTTTTCTGATTTTCGTGCTTTTATTTTCATTTATTGATTTTTAATTTTAATTTTATTTAAATTCCATTACTTGACATAGAGTATATTACTAGTTTCAGAGGTGGAGTTCAGTGATTGATCGGTTGCCTGTCACACCCAGTGGTCATTACATCTCCTGCCCTCCTTAATGTCCATCATCCAGTTACCCCATCCCCCCCATCCCGTTGAGCAGCCCTCAGTGTTTCCTAGAGTTAAGAGTCTCTTATGGTTTGTCTCCCTCTTTGATTTCGTTTCATTTTGTCATCCCTTCCCCTATGATCCTCTGCATTGTTTCTTAAATTCCACATGTGAGTGAGTCATATGATCATTGTCTTTCTCTGATTAACTTACTTCACTTAGCATACTATCCTCTAGCTCCGTCTATGTGGATGCAAATGGCAAGATTTGTTTCTTTCTTTTTTTTTTTTTAATGGCTGAGTGATTTTCATTGTACATATACCACATCATCTCTATCCATTTATCTGTTGATGGACATCTGGGCTCTTTCCATAGTTGGGCTATTGTGGACATTGCTGCTCTAAACATTGGGGGCCAGTGCCCCTTTGGTTCACTACTTTTGTGTCTTTTGGGTAAATATTAGTGCAATTGCTGGGTGTAGGGTAGGTCTATTTTAACTTCTTGAGGAACCTCCATACTGTTAATCTTAAAAAGAGATTTTATTTGTTTTCTTAAAGATTTTATTTATTTATGGATAGAGCGAGCAGGGGCATGGGCATGAGTAGGGGCAGAGGGGGAGGGGGAAGCCGACTTCCCTCTGAGGGGGGAGCCCCACGTATCACTGGATCCCAGACCCTGGAATCATGACCTGAGCCAAAGTCAGAGGCTTAACCCACTGAGCCACCGAGGCACCCCGGATTTTATTTCTTTATTTGTTTTTTAAGATTTTGTTTATTTCTCTGAGAGAGTCAGCAGGAGCAGGGGTGGAGGAGAGGGAGAAGCGGACTCCCTGCTGAGCAGGGGCCCGAGTGGGGGGCTGGATCCTGGAACTCCAGGAACATGAATTGAGTTGAAGGCAGATGCTTAACCAGCTGAGCCACCCAGGCGCCCCTTGATTTATGTGTGAGAGAGAGAGAGAGAGAGAGAGAGCGCGCAGAGCAGAGGGGGAAAGAATTCAAGAGACTCTGTGAGCTGAGCACAGAGCCCATTCCAGGGCTTGATCTCACAACCTTGAGATCCTGACCTGAGCCAGAACCCAGAGTCAGATGCTTAACCGACTGTGCCCCCCAGGCGCCCCTGATTTTAGTGCTTTGTAAATTCGGTCCCTGTATCAGTATCAGGTTGTTTGTTGAATTCCTGAGTTCAGTCCAGTCTTGGTGTTTTCCTGACCGGAGGGCATTCCTACCTAACACCTTCTTCTATGTGCCCTCCGCCCCTGGGGCTGCCTGTTTCTGCCCGTGTATTTGCCAGGTGTATGTAAGCAAATTTTTCCAGAGCACGTTCAGAATGAGATCAGCCAGGCCCGATGGCTTGTCTCTTTCTCTGTCGTCGTCATATTTCCGCCCTCCGCGCTGGTGGCTCCCAGATTCCTCGATGGGGGGAACTCTTTGTGTCCTGTGGTCAAGCAGCTTGTCTGGTGATGTCTGCAAGACCACATTGACGCACTGAAAAACTTGACCCAGAGAGCCTTTTCTTTCTTTTTCTCCTTTTTTATTGTGAATCTCATTGTTTTTTGTGGCGAATATTCCACCGTGTATATACACCCCATCTTCCTTACCTGTTCATCGATCACCGTGGACTCTCTGGCTGCTTTCATATCGAGGCTGTTGTAAATAATCCTTCTGGGAACACAGGGGTGTCTACGTCTTTTCACATGGGTGAGGGTAATCCCAGAAGTTGGATTGCTGGGTCGTAGGGTAGTTCTGTTTATACTCTTTTGACGAACCTCCATACCGTTTTCCATGTATTCCCACCAACAGTCCGAGAGGGTTCCCTTTTCTCCACAGCCTCACTCCAACACTTGCTATTTCTTGTCTCTTTGATCCCAGCTCTTCTGACAGGTGCCAGGTAAAATCTCATTGTGGTTTCGATTTGCATTTCCCTGATGATGGGTGATGGTGAGCATCTTTTCACGGGTTTGTTGGCCATCTGTGTTGTCTTTGGAAAATGTCTTTGGACTCGGGTCCTGTGCCTATGTTTTAAGCTGGTTGTGTGTTTTTTTCTTAACGGAGTTGTATGAGTTCTTTGTCTGTTTTGGATGTTAAGCTCTTGTTGGGTATGTCGTTCACAAGTATCTTCTCCCATTCGGTCGATTGCCACTTCATTTTGTCGATGGTTTCCATCGCTGTGCAGAAGCAGAGAGCCTTTGATTCCATGAAACTTGGTCGTGCATCAGAACGTGTCGCTTGGTGCTTAGTCACGGTCCATTCTTCTGTCGGCTCCTTGTCATATGTGCTGAAACTTTAGGGTGGGGAGAATTTGGAATCTGCACCTTCTGGAAATTGCCTGCCAGCCTGTCTTCAAAGGAGCAGGGGAAATACCTCTCTTCTCAGCCTGGTTGCAGTATACCCACTGGGCTGGGCTCAGGGTTCCCTTCCCAGGCCTTTCCACATTGGGCGGGTGGTTGGTGACTCCTCTGCGGTCCCTCCCAGGACCTTCCTCTCTGTGAGGCTGGGGTTGCCCAGAAGGAGATGCTCACTTCAGATCGGTGACACGTTCTCGTTCACTGAAGGGTGAAGCTTCTCACAGGCGCTTCATGGCTTCCCCACTGGAGACTTGGGTGTGTGCAAATGCTGGATGGCTGTGGTCCCCACATGCCATTGCACTTCCTTAGGGATTTCTTGACACAGAGGGGAAGGGGCTGGAGGGGCCTTGGGGCCTGAGGGGAGGGCAGAGAGCAGGGGGGACCCCTGGCTGGGGCGAGCCCCACGGGGGTGGGAGCATTGCTGCCGGTAGGCGGGCCTCCGGTGGGACCACGGGGAACCCTTCGACCTCTGCGAGGGAGGTGCCTGCCGGAGGAGGCAAGTCGGGTACTCGTGTCTGGTGTAGACTTAGGACGGCCCCCACATAACTCAGGTCCTGAGGTGAGGAGTATTTTGTTGTGGTCTTTTTGAAAAAGCAATAATCCATGCGAAAACAATCCATGCTGAAATAGACACATTTCAGAAGAAGAGAGAATGGGACCCTGCACTTGGCCCGAGCCTGCCCACCCGCTTCACATCCTAGTAACCCTGCTCTGGTTCCAGGAGAACTGCTCACAAAAGGTGGCAGCCGTCTGCTGATTCGAGTTTTTAAATTGCCGCATCATGTAGTTTTATCTTGGTTGCTGAGTTGGGGTGGGGGGGGCGCTTACGTTTTGCCCCACCCTTGTCCTGGGCCTGGGTGCTCAGGGCACCCAGGAAGGGTCCCCAGCGGGCCACCAGCGGTACAGCTGAGACCACCCACCCTCCCAGCCCCACTCTCCTTGTGCCTGGGGGGTGGGAGCACCGGGTCTGGCATCCCAGAGCGGACACTGGGCCGAACTCAGGGCGGGGCTGGGGTGGCAGAGTGGGGGGGGCGGGGGGGGCGGGTGGCCCCGACACCAGAGGGGCTGGGGGACGGAACAGGACTTTTTTGCTGTTTTTGCCATGTGAAGCGTCCCCTTGCTGGCTGAGCCGGTGAGCCCCACCCGGACAGAAGGAAATGGCCTCCGTTTATGTTACTGACCAGGCTAAGTTCCACAAAGGAAAGCCGCTTTCCTCTTGAGATATTTTTTTTCTTTTTTACAAGGTTTTTAATTTTTCAGGTTTGATTTTGAAGTACCTTTGGACTTTTTAAGTTTCCAAAATAGTCCAAATGGTTGTGCAACAGCGTCAGTGGGCTGGACGCCACCGTATTCTACACTTTCAGATGGTTACTTTTGAGTGCCCTGCATGTTAGCCTGGTAGAAAAGAAGAAACGATACCCTCAAAAAAAACCAAAAACCAAAAAACTCCCGCCAACTAAAATAGCACAGACTAAGAGCACTGGTAGTGACCTTGCAGACCTCTAGAGGAGGGTGCCTGCACTCGATGCTCAGAATGGGGGCAAAGGTTGAAACAGGTGCCGCCCTTCGGTCCCCAGCCTCCCGTCAAGTCCCCTGCTGTCCCACCCCCGTCCTCAGGATGAGTTGTTCTCGGTCTTTCTTCTCTTCCCTGATCTTCACACGCTTATAGAGTACTGACCCGTCCTTTAATAAAACGTTTCTCAATTTGGATCTGTGTGCTGGCTTTTTGTGAGTAAATGTGAGTTTGGCATTTTTGGGAAAAATACGGAAGAGGCGACTTTGTGTCCTTTCAACTGCACCATCGCAAAAGACACATGACACAGGACATCGATTTGTTCCTTCCGCGGCGATGCTGACGTTGACAGTTCAGGTGGTGTTTGACAGGTGTCTTCACAGTAAACTTAATATTTTCTCCCTCTGTAATTAGCAGGTATCCTGAGGGGCACTGCCTTTGAAACCGTGTAAATACTCTGTTTTCCCAGGAGGTTCCATTCACGAACGTGCATTCGTTGATACGTTCTTGCCCGAGACGGTTATGACTGTGGTGTTGGCAGAGGGAAGCCCATCTAAATATGATTTTGTTCCTTTTTGTTTCACCCAAATTAAAACGTAGTCTGAACCGCTAGAAACTAAAGTGGAACCTCATCAGTTTCCGTGGGAAGGGGCAAAAAAGGGATGTGGAGACGAGGAATAAAAAGGAAGCAAAAGCCTGAAAAGGCGAAAAAGAATCCAAGAAAGTGGGGTATTAAAAACACAACATGAGATGGCAGAAGGAAACGTAAATCCGGTGGTGGTCCAGCACCTGCAAGTAGGAGGAACTCATTTCTGAACGATCGGGTTGGCGTAGAAGGGAAAGTCAGGCGAGCTGGTGTTTCCAGAGCTCTGCCTAAAAGGACGTAGCGCGGCTGGGCCGGGCGGGAAGCAGACGGGGTGAAGGTGGGTGGCAGGCTCTTCTCGCCTAGAGGTAGGAGGAGTGGGGTCAGCACAACCCGGCGAGAGAGTCTTGCCGTTCTGCGCGTGCCAGCAGCTGCCGCGAGGAGCCGCTTCGGGGTTACGGAGGAGTGTCACTGAGCGGGCCGGCTTGCAAACCCCAGTTCAGCGAACGGCAAGGGTGCATGGCTTTAACTGCAGCGGGGTCGTGACATCGCCCGCATCCACCCGAGTGCCCGCAGCGTACACCCAGCAGAAACTGGTGTAATTGTCTGGGGAAATCCAACATCCACGAACTGGGTCGAGGTTTTACTGTACCTCAAACGCCAGTAGACCGAGCAGAAAACAATCAGTAACGATGTAAAACATCAGGACCACACCACGACAGGGCTCTAGTGTGTGTGCACGCAGGGAGCAGGTGCACACACTCACATCCCCTGTTCCCAGCCAAAAGATGATGTGCTTTTTTGACACATAAATATGTAGTCACTGAACAGATGAACTAGAACAAAAGCAAATGGTCAGGGCACCTGGGTGGCTCGGTCCCTTGAGTGTCCGAGTCTTGCTTTCGGGTCAGGTCACGGTCTCCGAGTCGTGGGATCGAACCCGTGTCGGGCTCAGCACTCAGCGGGGCGTCTGCTTGGGATTCTGTCTCCCTCTCCTCCTCCCCATCCCCCTGCTCGTACACTCTCTCTGAAATAAATAAATAAATCATTTCAATAAAAAAGCAATATTCGGGCCCAGACGATTCAGTTCGGGCTGGGTGGTAGGTTACACGGCAACAGTAGGAACAGTGGGCCTGAGCACGTGTTTTGGGAAACGAAAGAACATTTTGCCCCGAGTAGCACTGCTCCAGATCCTAAGTTCAAAAGCACAGAGATACGTAGGAAGTTCCCAACGTATGCTCCCCCAACAAAGCCCACCCCTGTGAGGTGGCAGGTGGTCGTCCCCCTGTGTGCTTGCCTGTGTCCAGCTAGAGGACATGTGCGGCTCCGTGTGCAGCAGAGGCTTCTCTTAATGACCCCCATCTCCTTTTTCGGATCGAAGGTGACCTTGCCAGGCGGTAACCCCGAGTGCGGCCCGAATGAGTACAAGCCTGAGGGTCTCCACCTGTGCTGCCAACAGTGTCCTGCCGGTGAGTCCAAGGGGATCTTCTGGAGCTTTGAGGGGCAGCCCTCGCAGGCTGGAGAAGGCAGGCTGTGGGCCGTTGGAGCAGACAGAGCTGGAGGCTGGGTGGGGAGACTCCCTCTGGCTCAGGTGAGCGGACCGCTCCTTGGCATCTTGGCCCCCTTGGGGGGGGGGGCTCTCCTGTGAATAGGGTTGTGGGCTTGTTTTGTTCAGGGAGGTCCTTCTGCAGGCTGGAGGACAACATGGGGATGCACGGTCAGGCCGGATGCTCCTAGCTGCCCTCCCGTTGGGGTGACTCGGACACCTGACGAAGGAGGGTCCTTGCGGGGCCGGGGCGACCACGGTTCTCAGGCACGGCATGTGCGTGGAGGCTTACTCACCTTCGTGAGGATGCTCTGAATGAGCCCCATAGAGCAGGTGGGGGCCACAGGCCCTAGGTGCCTGCTCTTCCCACCCCTCCACAGCATGTACCTCATCTACACTCGCAGACAGATGTGCACACGCTGTCCGTGGGAGTTCCTTCACGGATCTCCTCTTTGCGGGGGCCGACCACATCCCTCTACCCATCACCACCGGCGTCACCCACTGCCCCACACACGCTCTGCCCCTGCAGGGCTCCCGTTTCGGGTACTGAAGACCCACACCTGGACCACTCACCTGACACGCTCCCAGCATACCTGTGTATACACCAGGCATGTGTGGGTCCGCTGCCTATGCGCACGTGCACCCGCATACACGCACAGCTCATGTGGGCATGAAGTAGACACAGGTGCTTCGACTGCAAACCTTGTGAACTCAGCCTTGTGCAACTTCAGGTTGTGTTCGCCTCCTCCCAGCCAGGGCTGATTGTCTCAGCTACAGCCTTTGCACGAGGCAGGCGCTAGACCAGGGGGCTCCTCTGGGCCTGGTCAGAGACTCTGTCTTGAGCCCTCCAGCGTTCCCTGTAGATGAGCCGGAAGCTGTCAGCCCACCCCAGAGGCAGGGGTGAACACACAGATGTTGTCGGGCACAGGAGCCTCCAGTGTGTATGCTCCAAACCATCTCCTGACCTGTGTTCCAAGATGTCGCTGAAAGCCGAGGGGCACTAGGTCCCCAGTTCCTGGGACACTTGTGGCCAAGTGTCAGTCCAGAACGCTCCAAGGAGATCGTGGCGAGGCCTGGTCCTCCAGTAGAGGCCTGGGGATCGGGTCCGCTCTGGGCCCCCACCTCACCTCTGTGTTCCCCCCTTTACAGGCTTTTATGTCAGCAGGCACTGTGATGTAAACCATGGTGTTTCCAAATGTAGTCCATGTGAATCCGAAAGCTTCCAGTCCCACCCAAACAGGGAGACCAGCTGCCGGCCATGCACTAGGTGTCGGGCGGGTAAGTGCGCTACAGTCCGGCACAGTGGGATCTTGGGGTTTGGAAACGTAGCCCCCTGGCCTCAGCTTGCTGGCGTTGCCCCAAACGGAATTACATCAGATGAACCCAATGATAGAGCTGCAGCGTACCGATCTCGGGGTGTTCTTACCATGATGGTGTGTGCACCTGGTTAAAGAACCAGCCTTCCGGGAGTCAGGATCTTAGAGATACTCGGGGCAAGGGTCACATACAAAAGGTTCTCTCTGTTTCTATGTAGGAGCATCAAGTTGTTTTTAAAGATGTCATTCTTTAAAAAGATGCTGTTTGCATTAGCAAAGAAACGATGAGAAACTTTGAGAAAATCTGGGAAAGGACGTATAAAATTTATGTTTGCGTGACCAAACAACGTTGAAGAAAGTCTGCTTACGCAGAGAGGTACAAGATTGTAAGTAAGGGGACTCTCTGTTTTAAAGACGGCAGACCCCTGTGAAAGGGCTCTTCGACCATTCAGTGCGTTCTGGCCAATCCCAGCAGCATGTCATCCTGCCGCGGGTTTTCTTCTCTTTCCTTTATTTTTTTAAAGATTTTATGTATTTGACAGAGACACAGTGAGAGAGGAGGGAACCCAAGCAGAGGGAGCGGGGGAGGGAGAAGCAGGCCTCCCGCGGAGCAGGGAGCCCGATGCGGGGCTCGATCCCAGGACCCTGGGACCATGGCCCGAGCCGAAGGCCGACGCTTAACGTCTGAACCGTCTGGGCCACCCGCTGAAGATTTTAAATACACAATTTTTATTTAAAAAAAAAAAACACAACAGGTATTTTCATGCAATCTAATGAGCTGACAGTCGTCAAAACTCTCAGGAGGAAGAGAGAGAACATGCTCCCTCTCCCTTGTGTTACGACTCAGTGCAGAGAGGCAGGGGGACAAGCGTGATGGTCAGGGCGGGGTGGACGGTTGGGCCAGTGGAACAGTGGACAGCGCCGTGGATGTGAACGGTGGCGTGTGGCCCAGGGACCGAGCCCCTCCCCGGGAGCAGGGCTGGCATCTCCGGCGCAGACCGCCACCCCCCCCCCCCGAGTCGCTGCCCGGGCAGGATGCAGGCCGGAAGCTCCCGCCACGCACACGAGTGTGCTCACGGTGCAGCTAAGGCCGCGTGGGGAAAGTCAGACTTTGAGAGCAAAATGTAAAGCGTGTTTATGCCCTGGTGGCAGTGGAAAAGCATCTTACGGGAGCCCTAAAAGTCAGAAACCTTACGAGTGAGGAGGGTACCCGTGACTGCTTTCAAACGGCCGACTTCTGTTCTTCGCAAGACACCCAGGTTTGGGAATTCAGCCGTGAATCCGTGGGAGAACGGATTTATGATATGATTCAGGGAAATTCACATCCAGAAGAAACACATCAGTAGGGACGTTTGAAAACACACTTGATTTAAGTGGAGACACAGACGCGGCCAAGACGATCGGACATCCGTGACCAGTACACACGTAAAAAGCTCAGGAGTAGATGGACAGACATGCTGTCCTCCTAGCAGATGGACAGATTTCCAGCATGGGGCCCAAAGACAGGGAGGACTCACCCCCAGGGACGTGCAGGAGTCCGTACGCTCTGGAAACAGTCTTGGCAGAGCTGGTGAAGTTGAAAATTCGCCGAAGCGGCTGCCCGACCACCCCGTGTCCTGATCTCGACCCGGGCAGGCGTTGCCCGTGTGTGCTGAGAGCAGGGGAAGCGTCTGCTGTCACATAAAGCCAGCAGCAACCCGAGTGTCCAGGGACGGAGAGCTGGGTCCCCCAGGGGCCAGCCCGGCGTGGGCTACGCGGCGGGATCCGGTCTGGTTGTATCTAGCCCAGCGCGTCCGGTTTCAGGAAGCGCCAGAATGTAGCGATGGGCTGCGGAGGGCTGAACCCGGGCTGTGGATCTGGGACGTGGTGCCGGGCAGGGAATGCGGGCCTGTCTGGTTCTCACCTGTCTGTGGAATGCTGTTCTTGGTCTCGAGCACCGTGGAAGGGCTCCGGGTGTGGTGGTGAGCACGGCTGCCATGGGTGTTGCTGGAGGAGGAGAGGTCCCCCTGCCTTCCGTTCTCTCTCTGAGGGGTCCCCCCACCCGGCATCCCTGCCGGCGCTGTGCTCTTCTGTGCGGGGCGAACAAGGTGAACGGAACGATGGGGGTGGCTTCTGAGCAGGTGGCCCCGGCCCCTTGGCCGGGATGCAGGGGTGAGGTTTGGCTGTTGGCCCCTCTCCGCCCCTGCATAGAAGGGAAGAGGAGGACAGGTTCCGTGCTCTCCACCAGTGTGCTGGGCACAGCCCGGTACAGGCGGGGATGGTCCTGGCCCCCGGTGCTGACCCTCAGCTCTCCCCCTTCAGACCAGGAGATGGTGGCTGAGTGCACACCGACCAGCGACCGGCAATGCCAGTGCAAGTCGGGGACCCACTACTGCGACTCAGACAACTGCGTGGAGAATTGCTTCCGGTGTCGAAGGTGCTGGGGATGCGGGTGTGGGCCCCTCCTGTACGCACAGTAGCAGACCCTAAGCGCCCAGCAGTGGTGGAGACGGCGCAGACACGGGGGCAGTTGACGGATCCATGCGGGGGAGAGCGCGTGAGGGCGGGGGGACTGGCCTCTTGAGCAGAGGCCCAGGGAGGGAGGGGGGAGCCATCGAGAGTTCCGGGGGAGGAGAGGTCTAGGCAGACGGAATGAGTGCAGAGCGGCGTGAACGCATCACCGTGAACGACCTGTGGCTGCTGACACACGGCCACACCTGGGTGGTTGTGAGAAAACCAACAGAGATGTGTCCTCTCACAGTCTGCAGACCAGAAGTCTGAAGCCAGGGGTCAGCGGGGCCGAGCTCCCTCTGCAGACTCTGGGGGAGGACCCTGCCTCACCTCTTCCCACCGCTGATGTTGCCGGCACGCTTCGGGGCTCCTGGGCTTTCCTGCCTCTGCTTCTGTCTGCTTGAGGTCGTCTCCACTTGTGTCTGTCTGTCTGCACCCGGCCTTCTCTCTGTCCTGGTACACTCTTCCCTCCTGTAAGGACAGCAGTCATGGGTGAAGGCCTACCGCAGTCTGGCGTGACCCCATCCGTCACGTGAGCATCTCTGCACACCCCCTTCCGAGGTTCTGGGTGGACACCGATTGGGGAGGACCTTCTGGGGACGCGGACAGTGGCAGGGCCACTAAAAAGATAGCTCGCCTTTCCTTTGTGAGGCACGTCATCAACTGACGTAACTCAGACCGTGTCGAACGGTAGCTTCCTGGACCTGTGAGTCCGAAGTGAGGACTGCCTTCAGGTCCGGTTCGATCAAGCCTCTGGCTTCTCTGGATTCGCTTCTATGTCCCCTTTTGCACGCACTTCACCTTTGGGCTACCTTCTTTCTTGAGGGAGATCGAGCTGCAGCTACAGCAGGGCAAGTCCTCCCAGCACATGCAGTGCTATCCAGGAACAGAGGGACGCTCTGCCCTACCCCCCACACGTCACAGAGCATGGGACAGAGCTTTACTACTCAGGGAACCGGTTTGGGCCAGGCAGCCGGGGACATGCCAGGCAGTGAGAGCCTGAGAGCTGGCGGGCCATCCTGCGAGCCGGGGCTCCTCCTGACCTCTGACCTGTGGGTGGTGCGAAGGATGTTTGGGGCCGTACCAGGCAGGGAGGATTAATGCTCTGGGTTTCCTCCCTGTGTCAGGTGTTCTGGACCTGTCATTCGGCCCTGCAATGCCACACACGATACAGTCTGTGCCCCAGAAGCTGGTACGAGGGCACCAGGTAAGAGCCGGACGCCATCTCTTCCTTCCAGGTCCGCAGACCTGCCCCGTGAAGGTAAGACGTTAGGCTTGGCACGCCTGGGTGCCATTCAGACTTGCGGGAATGGGCCGTGGGCTGGATTCGGCCCATGGGCCACGGTCACGGCCCTGTCTTGAGTGAACAGAATGCTTGGAGCCGCGCCGTGGCTTGCGTCCTAGGTTCCCGCGCCGGGGTGCGTGGGCCGACGGGGACGCTCACTGCTGGCGTCCTGCCTGGCGTCCCGCGCCTGGCAGAGCAGGAGGGGAGGGGAGCGGCTGAGTTCCGTGAGGCCCGCGGTTTTCTCCCGGTTAGTCAGCACCTCCTCCATCTCTCCTTTCACGGGATCCCCAAAAGCAGGCCAGGTCGCTGCCTTCAGGGGCGCTCGGCCGGGACCCGAGGCTTTGAGGCAGGCAGCAGCCGCGAGCGGAGGTGAGGCCCCAAGCCTTTGGGCCTCTGGTGCTGAGTGTCTCTGAGGGATTCTTGCCTACTGTTCGGTTGAGTCCTAGGCGGGGTTGCTTTCTTAGTTTTGATAGAGCGGAGCCCTGAACAACGTGGGGCGAGGGGCGCCGGTTCCCCTTGCACGGGAACATCCCCAGAGAACCCTTGATCCCCCCAAAATCTTACCTACTAATAGCGTCCTGTTGAATGAAGCCTCCGCGGGCCTGGACAGTTGATTACCTGCTATGTTGTGTGTTACATGTATCACACGTGCGGTCTTGTTACAGTAACATAAAGTAGAGAGAAAAGGGTAAGAAGGAGGGGCGCCTGGGGGTCTCAGTCGGTTAAGCGACTGCCTTCGGCTCAGGTCATGATCCCGGAGTCCCGGGATCGAGTCTCGCATTGGGCTCCCTGCTCGGCGGGGAGCCTGCTTCTCCCTCTGACCCTCCCCCCCCCGCTCCCCCCTTCTCTCTCATTCTCGCTCTGTCAAATAAATCGATGAATCTTTAAAAAAAAAAAGGGTAGTGAGATAATAAGGAAGAACAGACACATCGATGGTTCCGTATCGTGTGTATTGAAAAATTCCACACGTACCTGGACCTTGTGGCTGATGTTGTTGAAAGGTCAGCTGTATTGGTAGCAGTGGGTGGTGGTTTACAGAATTCATGGATAGTGCCTTTGTGTTGTAAATATCTCCTCCTCGGCGAGTCTTCTTCTCCGACGGCAAGGGTGTCTTGGTGGACAGGCCCTTCGTTTTCATGTGGTCCCTTTACCCAACTGTGTCCCGTACGGTTGGGGCTCATGTCCTGTGTGAGAAATCTTCGCTCACCTGGAGGGATTCTGTATGGGTTTGCCTTCCTGTTTTTGTTCTGCAGTGAACCCGGCAGGGTGTAGGGTAGGAGGTCCAGGTTCGGTGTGTTTTTCCCACCTGCACATGCACCTGACTCAGGATTGTGTCCTTCAAAGACCGTCCCTTCCAGCTGTAGCCAGTGTCCCTTGGTGGGTCAGTGCAGCGAGCATCCCCGTGTGAGGCTGTCCTTCGGTCCCATCTTGGGGGGGGGCGCCCAAGTCCACCTAACTGCGGGCCTTGACGTCTGAGGCTCTGCGTCTGGGTCGTCCGGCTGCTCTGGGACGGTGGGGTGTCCCTTTACAGGCCAGCACTGTCTTGTTGATTTCCACAAAAGATTCTGATTTGTGTAACTTGCACTTTTAAAGGATACTTTAACACCAAAGAGAGAAGAACAAATTAGGAAGGGCCTAATCAGAGCATAAAGAAAATCTTTGAGTCAGACTTGGCACCATGTGAAAGATCTGCCCTGTCGTCCATCCCTCCCACCTCCCAGTCCCGGCTGCCAACGCCGATGACATCCTGGTGGCTGACCATCGAGGCTCTAATGGGACCGTCCTGCCCCCTGTGTCAGTTCTGTGATGTCACCAGAGTGAGACCAGGACACCCGAGTGGTTATAGCAGATGTCCCCTCGGGGTGGACCTGCCATGTCCCTCAGGCCACCGTGGGAGGGCCTTGCTGCCGTCAGGACTGGCCATGCTCTGCCTCCTGCTGGTGCAGGTGGAAATGCAGAGCCCGGTCCCGGGAAACCAGGACCTCCCTCCACTCCCCTGGCCATGCAGACCTCCTCCGGCTTCCGGCCACCTGACCAGGACCCCAGGTCCTCGTCTGTGACACAGAAACCAGGAGCCTCAGCTGCCTCCCACTAGGGTCGTTCAAGACCATGATTAGTGGGAGAGATGGCTTGAGGCCTTGAGATCCCACGGTGCCTCCTTGCCTCCCAGAGCGAGGATTTTCTGTCCTTGTCACCTGAGTGAGGAACGTGAGCCTGACCCGCTCCACCATTCTCTGTTTTGTCTCCTTCCAGGAAAAGAATTACCGAAGGATGTGTCTGTCCGTGGGCTCGTGTTATCCTTCGTCCTCTTGGCCATCTTCCTCATTGTGGCTGTCCTCCTCATGTACTGTCATAAGAAGAAGGGTAAGTAGGGTCAGGTCAGAGCTGGAGGAGCTAGCTCTGGGTCCCCATCAGGAGCGCCGAAGTGGACCCCCTGGGTTGGGGGTCCCCCGGGAGGCTTTTGCTGTGAATACACAGCTGTGTTGAATTTCTCCTTCTCATGTGTGAGCTCAGAGCTCTTTGCCTGCTCCCCGCACACAGGTCTTAAGACCCAAATCTCCGGGGGCGCCTGGGTGGCTCAGTTGGTTGAGCGACTGCCTTCGGCTCAGGTCATGCTCCTGGAGTCCTGGGATCGAGTCCAGCATTGGGCTCCCTGCTATCAGCGGGGAGTTTGCTTCTCCCTCTGACCCTCCCCCCTCTCATGCTCCCTTTCTCTATCTCATTTTCTCTCTCAAATAAATAAATAAAATCTTTAAAAAAAAAAAAAAAAAGACCCAGATCTCTGGGCAGCTGGCGAGACGCCGCGTTGGGGGTGCTGTGGACCAAGGGGCAGGGAGAGACTGGCTCTGCGTCACCGTGGGGTGCCCGAAGGGAGGAAGGGCAGCTGGGTGCAGACAGAGCCCCGAGGACGCTCACCTCCTGTGCTCCTTGCAGGTATGCGGCCTTGCCGCTGGTTCTTCAGCGTCTGGAAAGGTAAGGACGGTTTGTCCTCAATTCAGAGCAGTTTCTTCTCTCGCAGAAGTCATTGCCCCCACTGATTTCAGTTCTGATCGTTTCTCTTCTTCTTGGTATTCAGGAAGGCCGGACGGACCTGACAGCGCTGTAAGTATTGTCCTGCGGTTTCCCTAACGGTGGCACTGGGCTTTGGTGGCAGTCGAGTCCCAAAAGTCATCTGGGGTGGGTGAGTGGTGGGCACACCAGAGCCCCTGCTTTCCAGCCTCGCGTGTGCCTGCTTATTGGAGCCCCAGAATGTGCTGGAAGAAGACTGAAATTCTGTCGGTCTAGGGCGGGGTGGAAAATGAGGCTCAGAGTGGCAGAGGGGTGTGCATGAGCATCCCAGGGCTGCCGAAAAATTCCGTGTCCGCTGGGGAGTACAAAGCAGTAGAGCCTATCGGGCTGGAGTCTGGCATCAGGGGAGGGGCGGCGGGAAGGGGGGGCTCTGTCAGAGGCGTTTGGGAGGGTCCTTCCTGCCTCCCTAATCGGGCTGGAGACCCCAGCGTTGTAGGGCCGAGGTGTCTGCCCGTCTCTGCTTCTCTCCCCGTGTCCGTGCGTCTCAGAGTCGGCCTCTTCGAGCACGCTCACCACTGGTGTAGGGCTCACATTCATGGAGTGTGAACTCCTGCGGTCAGGTCCTACGTGCGGGCGCAGAGCTCAGGCTGCGGACCCACAGGCGCAGCGTGCGGTGCTGGGAGGTGGTCCCGCCCCACAGCCATAAAGCACGTAGCGCAATGGAGCCAGTCGGATGGATTGCTCACTTTCCTGGTGTGTACAAAAGTTGCGCTCACACCAGTGTAGACTGTTAAGTGTGCAGTAGCGTTCTGTGTCCAAGCCCAGGGTGCGCACCCTCCTTAAACGATGCTTTATTGTCCGGGCACCTGGGTGTGTCCGTCGGTTAAGCCTCCGACTCTCAGGCTCATCTCGGGTCTTGCACTCGGGGTTGTGAGTTCAAGCCCATCGTTGGACGCCATGCTGGGCGGGAGTCTCCTTAAAAGTTAAAGAGATACTTTATTGCTAATAATTGCAACCGGTCACCTGAGCTCCCCGGTAGTTGCTCAGGTTACCAAACAAATAAAGTCCTCATGAAACAGTGTGACGTTCGGCAGGAATTACCAGGTATTTCTCTCCCCCCCGCCGCCCCAGTCGTGGCTTGGGAAGCACCTGTGCCACAGGCTTCCGTGTCCAAAAGACACGATTTTGTCCTTTACTCACAGATTGGCCATCAGCACAGTGAGTCGCTGCTACCCCTGAATCCTGAGACCGACGTGCCTGCCCCTGACATGGAAATGTCCTCGTCTTTTCGCTTGCTGGAGGAGGGGTGCTCAGCTGTGAAGCCCGAGGCTGGGCCCCACGCAGGCCCCTCAGAGGAGCCGGAGGAGGGCGCCGAGCCGGCGCGGGTGGCGCTCGGGGGGAGCCCCGCGGCCCCAGAGCAGGCGCTACAGACGGCAGCCCCGGCCGCCCCTGGCCCGCAGGACCACCCTGAGGTGGCCCCCTCCCTCAGGACCCTGGAGCAGGTAGGCGACCCGTCTGGGGCGTCCAAGAATGAGACCTCTGCTTACTGAGCGCTGAGTGTACGCAGACCCCGTGCTCAGGGCTACCGTGTGCGCTCTGGCACAGCCCCTGTGTGGGTTTCCCGGGGCGGCTTCCTCGGCGGGGTGTGTACTGTCTCGCGTCCTGGAGGCTCACGGTCCAGATCGAGGTGTTGGGTGGCCTGCGGCTGCTGAGTCTGCAAAGCACCAGCGGGCCAGGCCTCTCCCTCGGCGGCTGCTCGCATCTGGCCGACTTCGGGCTCCAGGGCTTGCGGAAGCATTGCCCCAAGCTCTGCCTCCGTCCTCACGGCGTGTGTCCCTGTGTACGAGTCCACGTCCAGATTTCCCCTTTCCCTGATAACACCAGTCAGCATGGAGTGAGGCTGACCCTCACGACCTCGACAGGACTGTTGTCCGCCTGGACCCCATTCCCGACTAGTCACGTTGAGAGGTTCAGACTCAGTGTGTGGGGCTACAATTCAGCACACAGGAGTCCCGACCCCACCTGCTGTCCCAAGGGGCTGTAACACCGGGAGGGTGCCAAGGCTCAGGGAGCGTCCTTGTCCAGGGCCCGAGGCTGGGACGTGCTGGACACCACAGCCCCCGGAGCACGAGCGGGCCTCAGATCGGCCCGGCGGGCTTCGGCCAGCAAGTCCTGTGTGCCGGGCATGGCCTCAGTGCAGCCGGGGTGGCGGCGGGAGGGGCGAGCGCACACTGCGCCCCTGGATGGGCCGTGGGGGCCGGGCTCGCTCGCAGGACAGCAATGGGCCCCATCCTCTGTTGTGGGGCTGCGTGGCCCGTCCTGCGTGGGACACCTGAGTTTGACGAGATGAGCAGACACCCGCTCCGTGGCTCAGGGGAGTAGGGCTCTTCCAGAAGCGGGGACAGCATGTGCATTGATGGGACGGAGCCAGGGTTTGGGGAATTCCAAGGCCCCGTGTCTGAATCCTGAAGGCAGGGCACAGGTGAGGAGTTAGGGACAGGGTCCCAGGGAGGAGATCACGCCGCTCCTGTGCTGATCGCTGTGGCCCCCTGGGGTCCCCTGGTGTGGGCGTGGCGGATGCCAGCTCTAGCGTGGAGACTGGGTTTCTGGGCCGAGTGTCCGTAGGTACCACTGCAGGGAGAGAGGGCTTGACGTTGTTCAGATTCCCTGCCGGCTCAGAAGACGAGTCAGTAGAGACGTTAGGACTCTTGCCCATCTCAGCAGGAGGCCCGGGGGGTCCCTCTCAGCCCGTTCTTATCCCATGTTATGGCCGAGCACCCCTGCCCAGAGCGGGGAGTCCCGTGGGGGGCCAGCCGCGGGCGGGAGGCAGAGCTGGGGCCTGCAGCCGTCGGCCTGGCGGTGACGGGCTACCTGACCTCATGCGCAGGAGAAGTGGGCGTTGGGGCTGCCGCTCTCGGGCACTCAGTGTTGGCACTGACCTCCGCTCGGAGCTTCTCCGGAGTCCCCTCTCGCGTTTCCCGGGGCATTTCTGTGGACAGGAGTGCTGTCCGTTCGTCATTCCCTGGAGCAGAGCTGGGTATCCCCAGGTGACACAGCTCAGCGGGTACCTGCCCGCCTGCCCACCTGAGCAGGGGCCACTGGGCCGCCTCTGGGCCCCGGCCGTGTCCTGGGGCAGTGAGACCCGGAGGACACTCGTAGGCTGTGACCTCTCGGCCCCTGGTGCGGGACCTACTCCCTGAAGGCCTTCTCCCGTCCATGGAGGCCCCCCTGTCCTCACCCCGCTGCTCCCTCCGACCAGACTGTGGTTCGGCTTCAGCCACATGGATTCTTCCTTCTCCTGCAACAACGGTGTTTTCTTCCCTCCACAGGACTATGAAGCTAAGTATTTTGTAACAGATACATGGAATGACGGTACGTAGTCTGCATTCCTCGTTTCTAGCAACTGTTAAGGCCTCGCCTTGTTTGGTGTGCATGTCAAGTCCTGCTGTCCTTGTTTCTGAGAGGGGGACACTTGCCTGCGTCAAGCCGCGGGCACTATTTTGCGCTCAGGAGCGACATTATGGGAAACATCATTTGTCAAACATGAGTTTGGTGGGGTTCATCGGCTTTGACTACCGCTTTGATTGGAAGATGCGTTCATGTTTTGAAGAAGAAATGAGTGGGGGGTAGGAATACTTGTTACAGCCTCGACGAGCAGGCCCGCTCTTGGCTAGGACTCCGTACTCTTTCAGGCGTTCATGGAGGATTGATTGAGACCTGCTCCATGACAGGTGCTTTTTGTTTTACATCCCATCTTCGCTAACCAGCTGTGCAGGGCCACCCCTTTGGATAGGTTTAAGGAGACGGTAGTCTGAAACCCCAAGAGGTTACAAAACCTGCCTCTCTGGTCTCAGATCCTAACCACGGTCCCCATCCGATAGCTGGAGGCCTTGTCAGTCCTGTGCGTCTTACAGCCTCTCTCTGGGTGTCAAGGGACAGAAAAAGGGCAGGTGACCTGCAGCCGACTGGGGATCCCGTGCAGTTCCCGACTTCCCCGGATCTTTGGCTCCTCCCAGGCTCCAGTAATGAGCCACAGGCAGGGCGGGAGTCTTGGCCCCACCTCGGTCTCCTGGCATCTGGACCCGATTTCTGGGACATCAGCGGGGTCCCACAGGACCTCCCACCTCCTGGGTGTGGCGTGCTGGTTGGCGCCCGGCCCTGGGGCACGCTGGAGACACCTGTGACCTATCCCTGGGGAGCCGTGACAGCAGGTGCCATGCGGTCCTCCCAGAAATGTAAACAGTCCTCCTTTTTGCTTTTACTTTTTTTCAGCCCGGACCTACTATGAATTTGAAAAAACGATCTCTGATAAACACTGGAAAACATTTATGAGGATTCTCGGGCTGAAAGACAGTGACATTGACATTTGCGAATGCCAAAACCCCGGCAATGTGATGGAGCAGCATCACCAGATGCTCCTTTTGTGGAGAACCCAGTTGGGAAGGGAAGCCTCTGTTTTTAAACTGTTCGCTGCCCTCCATAAGATGCAGCTACACATGTACCTGGAAAATATTATAAACGGGTTAGTTGCCGAAGGCATCCTGGTCAGACGTTCGGAGACCTCAGATGAAACTTTTGGCACGGGATCATGTCCTTGAGCGGGATCCTGAATGGCCGTGATCTGACCTTCTTTCCCAGTTTGCATCTTACTGGAAACTTCTGGAATCCCTGATGGGACTGTGCACATTTTCTACATAGATCCCGCACAAAGTTGGCAATGGGGAGGTCAGTTCTAGGTGCCAGCAAGAGTGCTTCCTGCGGGGCCAGACCAGCTGTGGGGACTGCCTGTGACCAAGGCGGCAGGGGTGGGCAGGATCTGCGTGGATCCCAGCGAGTCCTGAGGTGGTTGGGCAGGGAGCCAGGACTCTGCTGGCTGCACTCACGTTGCCCAGCCCTTTCCCCAGGCACTGAGGCTGGAGCCCTTTTTCTGCTCTGATCAGTGCTTAGATCTCGGAGATCTGGGATGTCCCCATGACCTAGAACACGGTGTGCCTGTGACTGAGGTTCCCCTATGTAAGTAGGAGTAACTTAATGACTTGTTATTATGCTGTATTTATAAGTATAGTTAATATATTACATTTTTTTCTGTATTAATAGTTTTTTTTAAAAATATCCTTTTACTAGAGAGAGTTTAAACAGGGGGAGCGGCACGGAGAGGGAGAGGGAGCAGCAGGCTCCCTGCTGAACAGGGAGCCCACTGCCGGGCTCGATTCCAGGACCCCGGGATCATGACCTGATTCAAAGGCAGATGCTGAACCGTCTGAGCCACCCAGGCACCCCTATAGTTTTCTCTTTTTTTTTTTTTTTTTTTTTAAGATTTTATGTAGCTTAGAGAATTTCTATGCGCAGGGGGAAGTGCAGAGGGAGAGATGCAATCCTAAGCCGACTCCCTGCCCAGTGCGGAACCTGACATTGGGCTCCATCTCACAACCCTAACATCAACTTGAGCCAAAATCCAGAGCCAGGTCCTTAGCCTACTGGGGCACTTAAGGACCCCTGTAATTAAGTTTTACGTAATAAAACATATTTTAAATCGTGTTTCCTTTTATTTCCGGTGGGTACACAACGTGGCTGTGAATCCTCGGCGGGGGCTTCATGCACAGAGGGCGACACGGACCCCAAGGCTGCAGTTTGCCAGAGGGGAGGGCTCTGGGCTGAGGATCGGAGGCTGGAGACGCCTCTTCTGGTTTGTGGTGTTCCCCCCCGTTGCTTGCCTCAGAATGTGAGCTCCACTCTGCCCCCCTCAGCCCGAACATCACCGGTTCCTGGAGTTAGGCACAGATTTGCCCGTTTCTTCCCATCCAGCACCCAGCCTCTTCAACTCCCAGTTACAGTGAAAGCCACACCCGCTCCGTCATCTGAGAGGTGGGTCGCCACCCGCTTCCTTGTCCACTTGTCCACCCCGTTGCCCTGTCTCCGCCTCGTGCCGGGCTCTGCTGCTTCCTGGGGCTCTCCCCGGACTGTGTGCTCACTCCGCTAGCCCAGGCCACCATTCACTATCCTTTGGACGACTGAAAGGCGTCTTCAGTCTGGCTGTCCTCCCGGTCTCTTTCGTTCGTTCTGCCACCCAGGGCGCTCTGAGCGTTCTAAAGCACAAATGCAGCTGTGCCCGGTCCTGTGGGAACCAACCGTTCAGCGGCTCGCCATTCTTGACTCTGCTTACAAGATGCTTCCAAAAGGTCGAGCCCTGGCCTGTGCCTCAGGCCCCATCTCTTGCCAGGGCTGTTCTGCGCGTTCTGCACTAACTGGAAGTTTTCAGTGACTTGCTTTCTGCGGGGGTCGTCCGCTGGACAGCCCTCTCCCGGGCACGCACTTCCCACCCATCCGCAATCCCATCCTCTAAGCTTCCTTCCAACTAGTCCTCCGCCCTGGCCAGCCCATTGCTGTCTCTGGACGGCCCTGTCTGACCAGCGGGCTGGGGCTGGGGCTGGGGCTGGGGCTGGGGCTTGTCCCCACGCCCGTCGGTGCAGTGCTAACAAGCATGAGTGAGCTGTGTCCTCGATGCCCGTCTCCCGAGGCCGAACTCCAACTTATCCCCGCCTCGGACACACCCCCCCGCACCGAGCCCCGCACCTGGGCCGGCACCGGGTCTCCTAGGTCCAGAATAGGGACCTGTGGGCCCAAGGAGGCTCCTGGCGCGTGCGCGCGGAGCGACGGGAAGCACAACTCCCAGCATGCCCCTAGCCGGCGGCGTCCCGAGTCCGCGGCGGTTGCCTGGCGATCGGGCGTGTCCCGGAAGGCGGCCCCGGCGCTGGGCGGGACTTCCGGGGCGGTGGTTGCATCAGCTTCCGGGAAGCTGTCGCCTCTCTGGCTGGTTTGGAATTCCTAAGATGTCAGGTTCCTCTGGGGAGCAGGGTGAGTGCGCGCGGCGGTGCTGGCGGGATGAAGCCGCCCTGGGGGTTCGGCGGGTCCCCGGGGTGGGCGGCGGGGGACCCCTCGCCCTGGGTCGGCGGGTCTCCTGGCCGCGCGGGGGAGGGCCCCGGGCCTGAGGCGTCGGCAGGTTCCTTGGGCCACCCTGCGGAGGGTGACCCCGGTTCTGGGGGTGGCGCTTTCCCCGGGCGGGCGTGGGACCCACCCGCTTTGGGGGTCGGCGGTTTCCTGGAGCGACCTGGCGGACGCTGAGCCTCCCCGGGACCCCCCCCCCCGCCCCGCCCCGGGCCTGCGTTTCGCGCGCCTTGCCGGACACGTGGGCGCTGGGCCCCCCCTGGGCCCCCCCCCCCCGCCCCGCCCCGGCCCGGGCCTGCGTTTCCCGCGCCTTGCCGGACACCTGGGGGCTCCCCGCGGCTTCCAGGCCACCCCCTCCTCGGCCTCTTCCTCGGGCTCTGCCGGGGTCCTCTGGCACCCCGCCCCGGCGCGCTACCTCACCCTTCCCGTAGCTGGCGTCTGGGCGGGACCTGGCTCCCTCCTGTCCCCAGCTGTACCCTGGCGACAGGCAGAGCCCCGGGGCTGTTTCAGTGGGCGTCCAGCCTGGCAGCAAGCCGGGGGTGGGCGAAAGAAGCTGGGGTTCGCAGACACCCACATGAGAGGCCTCGGGTTTTAGGAAGGCTTTCATCTGGGGCTCCACAGACAGTGGCCATTGGGCTCTGCTTGGTCAGTGCGTTATTACCCCACTTTACTGCCTGCCTCCGGGGAGGTTCAGGGAGCAGCCCTGCCCACCCCGGGCTCTGATGTCACCAGCGCGTGGACCAGCGCGTCCGCAGGCCTGCCGTGGAAGAGCCCTGGATCTTTTCCCGCAGTCCCGCAAGTAGGGCTGTGACTTCCGGCAAGTGCAGAGATTGTCACCCGGATTCCTGTCTGGAGCAAACTTTCCATTGGAATTATTGACCAAGAGTTCCACTGCTCCTGGCTGGTGAAAATGATGCGTGAGGGTTCCAGCCTGCCCACACTTGAGGCTCTGTGTGTCCCCTTTGCCTCTGGGGGCTGTGGGCCTCCAAGTGGGGAGCTCCGACCACCTGGGTGACCCTGTGATGTGGGAGGCACCCCCATGACAGGCTGCTGCCCCACACCAGTACCCACACACCAGGCTCGCTGTACCTCCCCGACGGGTGTGCCTGGATTCCAGGACTGTCTCCACCTTCCCTAGAGCCAGGCAGCCTGAGAAGTCCACCCAGCCTCCGGTGAAACGGCAGCATGGTCACAGCCCTGAGTCCGGAGCTGGTGTGGCGCGCCTGGGCTCCCAGCGCTGCCCCTTTCTCAGAGCACAGGGGGGCCGAGCGTGCCACCTCAGAGGATGTGGACCCTTAAGGGGTCATCCCTCGGAAAGGATTTAGAGTAGCACCTGGCACAGGACAGGCGCTGTGTGTCTGGATTGAAACCTGGAGCTTGTTTCTCTGTTCTTTTTTGTTTTTTAATGAAAGCGTGGTTCTGTTTCATTTGTGGACATAAATGACATGTTGGGTTTTTTCTTTTAATTGCTTTAGAAAGTCAGGTGTTTGGAGGCTTGGTAAGAATTGGCCTGTTTTTGGAGATTGCTCTATACGTTGGAATTAAGCCCCCAGTTTGTCCGGACAGCTGATGGAGTTTTCTAGTCCTGTGCCTTAGGGCAGTACCTCTCAGGCAGCGCTTGGGCCCAGGACACAGCCCACCTGCTCTTCCTTTACTGGTGCCCCCCCCACCTGTCCCTAGGCTTCCTCCAAGGTTGAGAACCTGTGGTCTTCCCCTGAGGAAACAGGAAATGAAACCAAATAGGAAAGGGTGTGTATGGGCACTAGAGTTGTAGATACGCTTGGTTTCCAGTTTCTGAAAGTTTTTTATTCCTAAGGTTGGATTCATCAAAAGTGACCTTCTCCCCAGGCTTTTTTTTTTTTTTCTTTTTAAGATTTTATTTATTTATTTGAGAGTGAGCAAGAAAGAGAGAGTGTGCATGAGCCAGGGGAGGGGCAGAGAAGCAGACTTCCCGCTGAGCAGGGAGCCTAACATGGGGCTCGATCCCAGGACCCCAGGATCGTGACCTGAGCTGAAGCAGACGCTCAACCCAACCGACTGAGTTCCCCAGGTGCCCTCCCCAGGCTTTTCAAGGACATCCTCATTTAGAATATTTTTCCCATTTCAGCTCTTCCTTAAGTAGATTCAGAACATCTGTTTGGTTCCCTGTGCTGACACCGGTTTTGCAGCTTCTCCTTTGTTGCTCGAAGGTGCGTGTCCCATTCCAGGTTCCGCTTGCTTTAGAAAGACGAGTCTCCTCTCTGGAGGACGCCTGGCTGGATGGAGCTCCCCTCAGAGGCCTTGTGCTGCAGGCTCCAGGCAGTCTTTGGTGGTTTTGTGTCAAACTTGCTGTTTAATTCTTTATGCTGAGTACTTCGAAGGGTCTTTGTAACCCTCGTATAGCTAGCATTTTTCTTCTCCAGGCATCCGTCTAAATACATCTGTTGTGGCCTTTCATCCTGAGAGCAACCTTGTGGTCGGTACTGCCCTTATCTGCCTGTCCAGGCGAGAAATCCTGACGTTCTGAGAAGTTGCGTGATTTGTCCAGGGTCCCACAGCTATAGCCGGGGGCCGAGCCAGGCCTCCAGCCCTGGCAGTTTGACCGCAGCAGGGATCTCAGCCAGCATCCTGTGCTGCCTTTGATGACAATCTGAATGATTCCATTCAGAATAACAGCTAGAGCCCCCAGTCCAGAGTGTGTGTAAGGGCACACGAGATAGAGCCAGTAGGCTTTGCTGCGTTTCCAGAAGAGAAATGAAACATCCATATTTATAGACTACAAATATTTGCTTATCTCTGAACTCATGTTTCCGTGTTTGCGAGTATTTACTTTTATGTAAGAGTTGTAAGAGATGGTGCCCTTGGGGTGGAGCTTAAGCCATCTCCATGTCGTGGTGGTATGGTGCTGTCTGGCCGCCCTCTCATTACCTGGGCAGCAGGTCTGTGAAAGACGGGAAAGTGAAAGCGCCGGGTGAGAGCATTATATCGTCCATTTCAGTGGAAAAGTGTCCCTGAGCAGTTCACAAAGATTTACTTAGATATTTCTTATTTCCTCACTAAGCATACGTTGAGCACTTGCCCTGCTAGGCAGTCCTGGACGCCGGAGGTCCGACCGCAGACGAGGGCGATCTGTCTCAGTCTCTCTGGGGCTTTCCGTCCAGTAGGGAGGTGGGTTACACCAGTGAAGGGCGAGACCCATAAGCCAGGTCAGTGTCGG